ACAAATGTCGTATAAAGGAAGAAATAGGAAAATCGGCCAGTATCTCTTAGAGCTATGGGCGTATAAACGCAAAATAGTCACTATAGCAAATTTGATCACGTTTAACCTCATTTGATCTTGAATATATTGATCTAGGACCATGAAATTGGCACACGATAATGTTCCCCGCCTACAATTCAAATTCCGTTTTTTTTTTTAAATACCTTTTTTGGCTAAACCGGGCTTTTCTCCCTTAGCGCTGGGAGAGTCAGGCGTATTTCCTTTTTGCAACCAAAGAGAGGCGCTGCCCGGAGAATGCCCAATTTCATCATTAATAACTGGCTTACGATGACCAGTTATCTTCGTGGCTTAGTAGTAAGTGTGCCGAGTGTACCCACCTCGAAATCTAAAGGTCGCTGGCTCGCAGCGGGTCAGCCTGAAGTGTTAAACACGCATTTGTTTTTTAAGTAGCATCTGGCCAGCCGGCAACGTCGTGAGGGCTAATGTTCGTATCTAGGTAGCATTTGGCCAGTCGGCAACTGCCGTGAGGGCTGTACATATTTACGCGTGTTAGATTAGGTCAGGTCACGTCAGGTCAGGTTGGGTTTGCTTTGGTTTGGGGTAGAAAGAAGCATCTACGGGTAGCGCCTCTCCTAAGTTGCTAAAACGAAACACGCGAGTGCCAGACATTCCGAAGTCCAAAAGACAGTTACGTAGACGTCGGCCCATTCTGGATTTTTTATATGATGTAGCTAATTTAAAGGAGAATAAAATATGTAAAAATCAGCAAAATCGAAGGATACCCATTTTTCAGAAAATCAAAATTTATTTTTTGAATTTTAATTAAGTTCACTAATTAGTTAATTACGTCAATATTGTTATCCTCAAATTAAAGCCTGACCTATTCCCTCCATTTCACACTTTGTTTCGTGGTGATATGTCTAAAACTTCAATGGTTATGACGCTCTAAAGATGATAATGTGCCTTGCCTAAGTCAATGTTTGATGACGTTTATCTCGGAAACGTGACGTCATATCTTGACAAAAATATGTCTCCATTCTTTTCACATATAGATAAGTAGTTTCACAAAGTTCCGCAAAAATCGGAGGAGGTGAGGTTCAAAATGATCATTTTTTGTCCCACTTGACGTGGAATGCCCCTGGGATAGTTGCGTCAGTGACCTGCGCTACCTGACCAGTGCCTGACATAAAATCGGCTCGTAGCATCATAATCGCAGAAGTGATGAGATACACTCTGAGAAACCCTGTGGCATTAGCCCACCTGATAGAATGCCACGACCTGAATCGTCGGAATTACTAACACCCACACCTAAACTACACCGACTGCACATCGTTTACACGGATCAGCACGGCCGGGATTGCCGGAACGGCGGCCAGCGGACGCGGCGAGCTGTATTTTAACCGGGCTCGACGCCGCACGGGCGCCCCGACGTGCCCTGGTCGTCGTAACGGTCAGCGCGTCTCCGGCGACGACCGACCGAGCGTATCAAACAGCAGCATAAAGGAAACGGGCGCCGTCGCCGGGGCGGTCCGACAAACTGCCGGCGGCCGGCGGTCGGCGAGGGAAGCCTAGGGAGGCAGCTGGGGTGGTCTCACATTTCCTTACAGAGGTCAACGGAGGATAAAAGTAAAACTGCATTAGATTTTCCGTGATTAATTGATTGTATGCTAGCGTTACTATTATGATTGTCTGAAATTTATAAAACCGTATGCCTCACGCCAAGATGCCTGGACGAATGCATGATCTTTTCTGAAGGAAGGGTAGTTCTAAGTCCGTAAATAACTACCCTCGCGAACAAGTAGCCAGTGAACCACGAAATCCGCCTAAGTCGCTCCTCTCATGTGTGAAATAATTAGCAGCTGATTCTATTTAAGACCATTCTTTGCATTAAACTTTCAGTACGAAAGCCTTCTATTTATATCAGATTTAAAACTCTCAAAATAGCCACGTTGTCATTAGTAGGTAAAGCAGGCCGCTATGTTGGCATTGGCTAGGCTGGCATACATAGCCGGCAGCGTTAGCGCCAGCGCCGTGCATAGCCCCTCGACGCCGCGATGCAGAGCTTAGAACAGCGGCGCGCCGATCCGAGTTGTTAGTCGTCCCGTTTCATATTCCCAGATTTACAGTTCCATAAATCAGGCCAGATTCTCACAACGGCTAATCAGCGTCCGAGGAGCTCCAGGTTCGGGCTGGGACTGCGGGCCGCCGCGCCCGTCTGAGCTGACGTCATAGGACCATTACCGACAGCGGCAGCACACCGACCGCCCAGTCCGCCCCGTCTGACACCCGCGCCGCTCGTACTTACAGACGACGCAACACAGCACTCATAGTTGAGCTGGGTCGCACATTTCCTGCTGAATATGAGTCTGCGGCACTTTCATGGTATTTGTCTGGTCGGATGGAGCTTATCCTAGTGGATCTGCGGAGATGAGCCAGTTCCGAGTGACGAACTTTGCTCGGCTGGCAAACACTCACACACAACTCTCTGCTCTGAATTCTGGCAGCTGCTGGAAATTAATGGCCACCTTAGTACCGAAAACGGAAACAACAGCCCCATCCAGTTCTAAGCATCTAATCAACTTTCAAACAGAGTAGACGGAATTATACGAAGCTTATAACATGGTCGCTTCTAGCAAGGCTCAGTGGCAGATTTGATAGAAATTATAAAAGAGCGTACCTAGTAGATACTGCAAATGATATTGATTGCCTTTACCCTGCGCTTGATAACTATGCCATCGGCCATTTAAAATTTAAAAGCAATAAAATGTCATATTTACAACAATACCCAAAGATAAATCAGTGCGAGACATTTCCGTAACTTATTACAAACAATCTCTCGTCAAGTACTGCGCACTATATCAGTAGGTACCAGCCCCGACCATTTCAAACATTTCAGCCCCGGTCCGTCCCTCTCAGCCCCCCCCCCCCCCCCCAACCACCGCCGTCTCCTCGCCACGTCCGCGGGCCAGACGTGGCGCGTCTCTAATGCCGCAATCAGATCGTCATCGAGCGCCACATTCGGCGCGCTGCACTCGAATGGTGATTAGCATTGGGCGGCGGGCGGCCTGTTTTGAAGCGGCTCCGGCTGTGGCGGGGGAGGCGGGGGGGGGGGGGGCGTGCCCGCGGCACTCGTCCGAGGGCGTCACGTGACCAATTAGCCGCGGCAGAGGCGGTAAATGACGGCCGAACGGCTGTGGTTGTCGGCCGAACAGACAGCCCGCTCGGCCGTGGCCGACGCGCAGAGATAAACAGAGCGGCGGTCGGCACTGCGGGAGGCTCGGCGATCAAACGGCCGGCGCTTATCGACTGCGGATGCACTGAAAACTTTTTTACCATTTCCTGAAGGGTAAACCCGCCATAGCATGGTAGCTTGACACACAGACGTTTTTTACCACCTTCCAGATGGTAAATTTTACTCTTTCATGAAGAGTAAACTCGCCAGGGAGGGGTAACATGACACACAGACGTTTTTTACCATCTTCTGAATGGTAAACTCTTTTGATTTACTCTTGTCTAGAGTGTAACATTTTTTGGGTTACACTCTTTGAAAGGGTAAATCTTAAACGGGACCCTTTTCTAGGGAGTAACGCATCATCTACTCTGTGCTTTACCCTCCTACAGAGAGTATTATCTTCTGGCCTACCCTTTGTCACATGGTAATGTTTACTCTTTCCTTTAGTGTAAACCCCCCAGAGGATGGTAACAGACTCACAGACGCTTGCTTCAGAAGCTTCACGAAGCTTCTGTTAACCGGAGCTCACCAACTAAAAAAACATGCTTCAAGAGCAACAATGTATATTTGGCTTCCGTACAAACAATACGAGGGGCACACCAGCCATGAACATTGTGAGACTCTTCACTTATGCACACGAATTTATACGAAGCGTTCAGCAATGCACAAGCGGTAAATAAACACCACGATACAACTTGAATGCACTTTGAATGTGAATACAAGACATTCAGCGCCCTCATATTGGATAAGGCACAGCGCACAATATTTGAAGAGAGCGACGGCGTTCCTGGGTCTCTGCGTCTGCGACGGCGTTCCTGGGCCCGTCTGCGTGAGATAATGAGACTGGATCACTACAGTGCAAGGCTTTTTCGAAGTCACCAACAAAATGCATAAGCTTGTAGCATCACAACAAAATTAATGTACGTACTCACAACCTAGGCCACGTGGCCGTGCACGGGGTCCTGTTAACCAGGTCAAATTAGCACCACTCAACGGCATGCAATGCTCTAGCACATCGGTACTTACAATAAAATGTCCATGCAGAGGCTCTATAGGCGATGAACAACACGCAAGCACAATCACCAACGGCCACGCCGCGCGGCACCGACACTGCTCACATCCGCTCTCGGAGACCAACGGCCGAAAACTGACAGATGCGCGCGGCCTTCAAACCGCAAACGGCCGATCTCGTTTCTGATTGGCTGAGTGATTCCATTTCAAATATCATCTTCACGAGGGTAAACAAGATCCACGCATGAAACGACTATCTGTACACGAGTCACGATACCCAGAAAGAAAGAGTTTTCGTGATGTTCTGGATCGCGAGAGTAATATTGATATTTACATGGTAATAATACTCTTCGCTGGCGAATAAGTTCATATTAACCACGTACCGTTACTATGCACATAATGGTAGCAAAGAGTTACCCTTTCAATATACTCTTATCTTGCTGGTTTGATGAAAATGAACCCTCCAGGAGGTAGTAAAAAAGTTTTGAGTGTGGTTATTCTGCATACACACCGGAAAGTATAGTAAATGCCCTGCATCTATGGTTGCAAATAGTATCACTCTTTTACCACCCCGTCTCAGCGAGCCGGTGTATGACGGATGCGTAGCGATAGTGGAGTAGGGAACGGCGACAGAGGTCTTGTGTTACCAGTGATCCAGACATGACAGAACACCCCGCCCCCACCCCTGTGTCCCCAATGAACCGGGATATTACTGAGCTGAGTGCTGACAGACTACTCCGCTTTGTTCCCAGTGAGCCGTGTGCTGTGTGACGAGAGCGAGTACCGGCTGACGCAGTACCTGATGTCCAACTACGACCCGTCAGTGCGACCGGCGCGCAACTCGGCGGAGCCACTCGAGGTCAACTTCAGCCTCTCTCTGCACCACATCATTGACGTGGTAAGGATCGCGGAGGACACGCGGGCCCTACCGCCCGGACCTGTGCGTGGCAGAGGTCGGGCAGGTATGATCTGCTCAGACAGTCGTGAGTGAAACAGCGGTCACACTCGACATGTCGTGCGTGGACCACTGTTGCAGCCTGTAAGCTTGTATCGCTACTTGGACTGGCCGCCTGTCGGCCGTCCGGTCCACTGCGAACCACTGGCCCAACACTGAAAACGCCATTTCTCCGTTCCGCTGCGCTTGCAAATGCATGACTGATGAATATGGGTCTGTGTATTCGTACGTTTGTACACCCGTCATGCACTTTGGGTGCAGATTACGCTTACACAGCCAGCAATGCATGGAAACACAGTACCACAGGCGGCGGCGGGGTGGCGGTGGACAATCGGAAAGACAAGAACGCTGAACAATGTGTAGGATCAGTGTTCGCGGCACGGCGTGGGCGCACAGACTGAGCCAACAGTGTTGGAGCCACACGGCAGGTGTCGCTGCAGTGGCGCCCGCGGACAGAGAAAGTTTTTGCCGCACGACCCCGTAGGTGTCGCTCGTCAAATGCATTTCTCCGTTCCGCTGCGCTTGCAAATGCATGACTGATGAATATGGGTCTGTGTATTCGTACGTTTGTACACCCGTCATGCACTTTGGGTGCAGATTACGCCCAACACCCCATCTGCACCCGCGCGGAACGGAGAGGCATTCGCTATGAACAAAATTGCCAGGGCGGCAGAAAGCTAATGGAAAACGATGGATGCCTCTGGATTAACAGACGTGGCGATAACGCGACGGCAGAGGACATGACATGCCGCGCACGGCGTAATTCACCTCACGCGACGCACAAACATGGCACCGTCGGCGGTGCGGCTGTGGCGTAGAAACTGCAGTTGCATCTGGGTTATGGCTGTGCGGGCGAGCTAAACCAACAATGAACACGCGAGCCCGACGTTACATATATACAGATACATCACTGTGGCGCGCAGCCGTCGGGAGTTGGGACTGCCGCTCCGCCGGCGAGGGCGGCGGTCCCAGAGCCCGGACCTGAAACAGGCAGCTGACAGACTACCGCTCCGCCCGTGAGGCGGGGGTCCGGGGGCCCGGACCTAAAACAGGCAGCTGACAAGACTGCCGCTCGCCCGTGAAGGCGGCGGTCCGGGATCCCGGACCGAAAACAGGCAGGTGGCCAAGGACGCCGCCGCTCCGCCTGCGAGGGCGGCGGTTTGGGAGCCCGGGCCTGAACAGGCAGCGTCGGGACTGCCGCTACGCCTGCTAGGGCGCGGCCCGTGCACCCAGACCTAGAACGGGCAGCTGTGGCTCGGGTTTGGGAGCGGTAGCGGTGGAAGGCCGGCAACGTTAACCCTCTTTGGACGGGACCCGCCGCTTAGGATGCCTGAAGGAGGGAGACCGGCCGCCGTACGTATCGCCGCACGGCCTGGGACGACCAGCGGCCGGCGTGGCAGAGTTGAGGCTCCGTTAGTCCGACTGCGGCGCCGTGGGAGGCGCCGCTGATGCGAAGGCAGTGCCCGGAGAGGCGGGCTGGGTTGAGACCAGCTCGACGGCCCGCCATGCGAAGTACGCGAGTGAGATCGCGCGATGTCAGAGGGCGGCGATGGCCGCCGATAAACAGTGCGTCATCAGGAAGGCCCGTGCCGCGGACCGCGAGGTAGTCGCGGACAGCGGCGACCGGACACGTGGCAAGATCAGGCCGGGCTCGAAGCGTGGTGGTGAACGGGGAGGCCGACGTTTTTGAGGATGGAATGGTGAGAGAAAGCTGGGGGCCGACGAGACTCACGTGGCTGAGTCGGACTGTGTGGGTCAGGTCTCGGCCGCGCACGACCTCGCCCGGGCGAAGCATAGCAAAGAAAGCCAATGTAAAGATGGCACGGAATGCAGCACGGTCTACCGGGGAGAGGCCTAGGAAATGGAGTGCGGCGCAGAGCTCGCCGAGCTCGGTCAGGGAGACGGCGAGGCGGTTGTCCGCACTCGGCCGTAGCCGGCGGGATCCCGCTAACAGCTGTCGCACCCGGAAGTCCGCCGTGGGATCCGGCGCGCCGGCTAGCTTGTGGCCGTAGGAGATGGCAGACGCCTCGGCGGCGAGGGTGGAAGCGGAACAGCCCTGCTCGTGTCGAGAGGCCAGGAAATCAGCAGTGTCGGCCACTGAGATGGGAAACAGGGCAGCAGTGGGCGGCAGAGTGAGGAAAACGCGGATTTGGCCCCACACTGCTCGATAAGAGCGAATGGTGGCAGGAGCTAGCGCGGCACCAGCTAGCTGGTGAACGGTGAGAGCGTGCCGCAGGCCGGCCAGTCCCAGGACGTCGGCGTGGCTGCTGCGGACGGGCGGAGCTCCTTGAAGACCTGCACAAGACCGCGGGACAGGGCGTCAGCTGCTGCATTGGCGATGCCGGGTGTGTGCACGGCACGCACGAGAATGTTATGAGAGACGGTGGTGAGAAAAAGGAATCGGAGCCATGGCATTAGGGCAGGCGAGCGAGATGACTGAGAGGTTATACAGGCCACCACAGCGGAGTTATCTGAGCGCACAAGGACGCAGCGATGCGCGAACCGATCTCGCCACACGTGCACGGCTACAGCGACAGCCACTAGTTCCAAAACGCTGATAGGGGCCTCGCGGAGGGACGCGGGCCACGGCCCCAGGAGCCGGTGCACAGAGACATTAGGTCATGCGCGTGGACAGGGCGATGAATACAACAAGATACGAGGCTAGCAGTCTGGTGGCAGCATAAGACGTAACTCCCTGAATTGCGGCACGAGCGTAACTGCGTATACGGTCGCCGGCGCAAACGCGCTATGGCCGACGACGCGATCGCGGGCCGCGGCGCGCCCCTGCGGCCGTAGGGGACACCACAGTTGTCGGTGGTGCAGGAACCTGCGGCAAGGGCCCTAGAGGCAATGATAGAAAAAAATATAAAACAGCCAGCGACTGGTACTTTGGTCTGGCAGTTCCTAACTGAGAGCCGGCTGCCAGTGCCGCGAGCCCACTGGGCGAACATAAAAATACGACACCACGGCCCAGCCAGGCCATCTCGGCGTAATGCACCCACCACGTGGGGAGAACTCACCAGATGTGGTCCAACTACAATCGGAACGCTGAACAATGTGTAGGATCAGTGTTCGCGGCACGGCGTGGGCGCACAGACTGAGCCAACAGTGTTGGAGCCACACGGCAGGTGTCGCTGCAGTGGCGCCCGCGGACAGAGAAAGTTTTTGCCGCACGACCCCGTAGGTGTCGCTCGTCAAATGCATTTATCAACGGACCACTTGGAGCTGAGGTACACTTGGATGTATTGCCGTTCAGCGCCCTGAAGAGAGATTGATTACTGCTCCACTGTTTGTCATGCCACTGCCGCGGCGACCACTTCCTGAGTCCGGCGACACCAGCGGAACAGGCATGTGCTCTGCTTCACAAAAAGGCCATGAATACGTGTCTTCTTGGTATTCGAGTAATAAAAATCGGGGAGAATGAATTTGTTCACGCACAATAGACGGCGGCGGGGGCTTTATCTCGTCCACTGTGGCGCTGACAGCGGATAAGATAAATGGCTCCGGCAAGTGATAATGGCAGCAGGGGCGAGAATGGTGGTCAGGCCCCCGACGCCCCTGCGATGGATCGCCCGTGTTGCTCGTTGCCGGAGGCGGTAAAAAGCGTCAAAATAATCATTTCAATTTTCATAGTCACTGTAAGCCTCAAGTATCCTTGATTATTTTTATTATAGGAGTTTATCCGGCCCCTCTAGATTAAACAGCACACAACCGATGCTTAACAATGTTCTGGAACACTGACGGTTGTGGCCGCGGAATTCGGTCAAAGCACAGACTCAGAGGCTGTCGTTCGGGTCCGTTCCTCTGAGAGGTAGACTGACCCGCAATGCGCCGGTGTTCTGCGGTACAGTCTACCTACACAGTGGGTTTCTCAGTGCCCGGTTTGAAACTCTGTAACCGGCGGCGCTGTGCTGTCTTGCATCAAATTCCTTTGTAAAAAGAAATAAGACATGTGTTACGCATTATTCAGTGCCGCATGACTTATAAGCGTCGCTTCTTTTTTAGGACGAGAGAAACCAGATTCTGACGACCAACTGCTGGCTGACCCACGTTTGGACCGACTACCATCTCACGTGGAACACCTCCGACTTCGGCGGGGTCCAGAAAATACGCGTGCCTTACTTCCGCGTGTGGAAACCTGACATCATTCTCTACAACAAGTAAGTGTGCCGATGAGCAGCGTTTGACATTCTGAGCAACCTTTTGCTGTCAATAACGCCGATGCCTGCGCTCTCCATGCAGCATGCTCCAGTATTCAATACACTGCTACTATGATCTCACGTTTCGACACCTAAGAAAGCATGATCATCCCGCGATGAGGATTGTTGACAGATACATAAAACCAATGCCACAAAATGAAACAATTAGCAGCAAAGGCATTGTAAAGCATTTGGGCTACTATCGTATAGCATTAAAGATAATGCACCAGGAAAGTTGCGAGGCCACGCGGTGTGTTGTATAAGTAAAACAAGTTTTCCGCTCACAGTCTCACAGTAAGTACTGCGCACTTGGCATTCTAGAGAGCGTAACTTCGTTAGCACTCTGGTCATCTATTGGATTCTTTCATAGTGCGCATTGCAACAAGCAATCTATATCGCATCAGAAATACTTTTTAGCCTTTTTGTTACAGGCGTTTTTTATTTATTTATTTATTTATTTATCTATTTATTTATTTATTTATTCAGGAGCTTGTTTTGTTCGTGAATTGTTAAGATTCATGGACATGCTTAAATACATACTTAAATGCATGTAACAGTGAAGAACGGATTGAAGTTAAACCGCACGAAGTCAAAATCGGCAAACTTCTCTTATGTAGAATATTGGTGCTTCTAGTCACCGGACCGATTAGGAAAGCGCAGATGAAGGTAGCACCCCCACTTACGATACTTATCTTGCCAACAACTGGTGGGAATATAAAGGAAATATCTTATGAGCCTTTACTACCCAGTCCTTGCCAACCACATAGATAACTTTTCGGCAGACCAAATCCTGATTTACAATTTATAGCCAACGCTTTTTATAGCACCTATGTACCTCCCTCACTCACAAGCAACACTGCAGATTCTGTTTAGTACCACTAAAATGCGTGTAACCCGCCTTGTGTTGCCGACTGATCCGGCAGCGCGGGCCCGCCGCTGCGGCACCGTCAGGACGTGCAGACGGACACGTGTACCCGAGACCTGTACGCGCCAGATAACCCATTAGCAGTCAACTGCAGGAGGTCGGTCCCCGACTGTGCTCCTACCCCCCCCCCCCCTTCTGGGGTTCGCACTCGGCGCTACGCTACCGACTGCTGTGTCGCGGATGAGCACGCACATCTAGCGCTTTTTGACTAAACCACTCTATACCCCTGGTTTCAGTGTTGTGATTTGTACAGTCGCCCGCAATAACATCTTGCTAATAAGTTCGCTATATCTATAACAACTTTGCAGCTTGCATTTTACTGTTTGAACTGAAGAGGCGCAAACAAATCGAAGTGAATTCACTTTCCCGTTTCGAGCGCATTGTTGAACGTCTATAGCCCAAAATATTTGATCTTCGCATCAGACTTGCAGATTTAATTACAACTGCTCATGTAGTCGCGCATCCTGATGCGTTATGTAAATTTCACAAACACAAAACACCAGACGCCAAACGACATCACTTACTTCAGACATTTTATGACAATGCTAACTACTCAACGGAGTAGTATATAATAAGTTTCTTTTTCCTTTTAATATACTTCTCTTCCAACACTCGTGCCCGCCTTTGGACGGGGAGTGGCGCTCGGAGACGGCACATAGCTAATAAGTTATGACCCCTAGCATTATCAAAATTTGATTCTTCACAAACAGGAGCCGTAAAAACTTGCACATCTACGGCTGTCTCTCTGGAGCCTTGAGGTTTACCAATCAAGTCATGTACAAAATATGATTGTGTTCGTAGTCACATATACATATTATGTAGCACCTTTCACATTGAAGGTCTTTCGAAAAGTGCGTTATGCTATAGAACGCAAGCAGTACTGTATAAGTGTATACTGTATATCCATAAGGCGGTCTACGGTTACGACAACTACACGAAAGCAACTATCACATTAAAAACAAAGAAGTGATTTCGGCTTTACCTCCACTAATTACATAATCGTACGTTTGTAGACATCTGAGCGCCACACAACGTGTGAAAAGTAGATGGGACACTGAGCGAAAACATCTGCACATATTTGGCCGCAGCAGAGGTGCATCATATCTGGCTTATATATTGCAGCGATTCCTCTGCCTTAACGGGGTGATTTCCCGCAGAGATATCCTACCCATCAATAGCAGTCCCTTCTCTTCAAACTTCCATCTGCCCAACTGTCGCCGAAAGCTGAAGAAATCATTTGTTGAAGCTGCGCTGCAAGTTTAAGTTTTAACAATTATTCTGAAACACGCCTCCTTTGATCGAAAAAAAATCAACGAAGCGTCACCGGCCGTAGAGATCGGTTAATCTTATTAAGAACTTACTAGAAAACATTCACTAAATAATGCATGGTTTGTTCCTTCCTTGCCTGTTTTGCGGTGTGTTGGATGCAGAAAGAAAACATCCGTAACACCGAACTGCGCTGGATACCTATACCAGGCACAGAAACGTTTGACTTGTGGGAACACCATTCCGTCCATGTTACACAGACGAATCAATTCGAAGTGTCAAAGCAATGCTCATCTGAAATAGGCTAAAAACAAACTTCAGTGCTTGTGAATTTAACTATGCACCAAATATTTCCGGCATGGCAGCTATATTCTATTTGCAATGCATCTCCTCATCATGCCAAACATTTAGTCGGCAGAGCACACCGCTAGACTGTCACCTTCCAACATCTCTGGACAGTTGTTAACAACTCCCAGACCGAACTAACACTCCCTGTCCTCTCCCGACGACCGTCAGCGCCGACTCGCAGTACAGCACGGCCGTCATCAACACGAACGTCATCGTCAACAGCAACGGCCAGGTGACGTGGCTGTCGCACGGCATCTACCAGTCGTCGTGTGACATGGACGTCGAGTACTTCCCCTTCGACATCCAGAGCTGCGAGATGAAGTGGGCCAGCTGGACCTACGATGGATACACGGTGCGTGACAACTGACCATCCGCCTAAAGACATGGGTAGATATGGAGTGCCATTTGATGTGTGACCACAGGATGGGAAAGGGTGAGGTGAATTTACTTCGTTATAATTTCGAAATGAGCATTTTTGTTCTCCTTAGGCTCAGTGTAAATGATAAGCTTTGCAGAGCATAGATTGATCTAAAAATACCCATCAACTTCATAGTCAGGGGACGGAGGCCCAATTTTGGGCCGAATAACGCAAAATTGGGTAGAGCTTAGCAAAGGGTGGTTTCTGGGACAAAAATGACCACTGAACCCGAATCTGACCGGTGCGCACCTCTAACTAATGTTGCACCACTTCCAGAGCACGTGCAACTGCGTGGTTCATCTTTTTTGGAGAATGGTAATGAATTGCAGTGTAACGTCGTTGATATTTGAGATATTGTTTTTAGATTTTGTCCTTGTGCTAAAAACACATGGCGCAATTGGAAGCTGAAGTTTTGCAATGTTTGGACAGCCGATGACGTCACCGTGACGTCATTTACCTATAAATGAGTTGAAAAAGTCGTCTTGTCCCTAAAGCATTTAACTTTATTCCCGTCGTATGCAAATCAGAGAAGGGAAAATAATCAAACATGATCTATTAACATTTCTGAGTCGGATCATGCTAAAATCGTTTTCGCAGAGGTACATGTGAGTCACGTTGAGAACGTGACAGTCCAAGTCACCACCTGACAGATTTGGTCAAACTGGATGAAGTAGTACAGCAGATTGATAAATCAGGATATCTTTATCTCATATCTTTATCTCTGAAACAGGATATCTTTATCTCATTTTTACCGTGTTCTGGCGCTGCGACGGCATTTAAATCAAAATGCTGTTGGCTTTGAATTGCCTAACTATCGTTCCTTTGGTCTTATTTATAGTTCAAATTGTATGATTTTTTATTTATTTCAAGTAAATAACCATTCCTATGAATAACGGAAAGTCAGCGTGGGTTCAGCCTAGTCGTTACGCGCGTTTGGCAAGCGATAAAAAATGATCCAAAATTGTGCTTGTCATGAAGACTGGGAAAGAAAATAAACAGCTGTGGTTTATCAAAAGGGCAAAAATAACCTTTGTACGAAAGTGAAATATCTTGGATATTTGAGGAAAACAATCTAAGATCGAAGCGAGACCACATGATAGACGATGCAGGAACAAAACAGTACCTACAAAAATGATCTGACAACCGAATGCCTCCTCGTAAACCTGTTTTGCGTGAAGTGCATTTTCTTGGGACTACATTGCAAGTGAAAATTCATTTAAGGAGCATGGATTCGTGATTACCCTATAAAGTTGAAGCTTGGCGACACCTTCAGCATGCATGCGGCTCGACACTATCAGATGCTCTTGGTGCACACATGGAACCGTTTTAGACAAAGCTGCAGATTGATGATGACGGGCACGACGAGCTGAACATGGAGCTCTCCCGACTCGCCCGTCTGAGTCCAAAAGAGATTGAATAGTACCAGCATGCGGCTGCTGGAGAAGGGAGAGCCGGAGCTGGCAGTACGGGCCAAGGAGCTGGCAGGCCGGGAGAATGGACGCCTGACGCGACTCCCTCCGGACGATCCCGCCCGGAAGCTCATTGACAAGACACCGCCACCTAGACTGCAGTACAGAGCCCACCTCCATTGGATGCGGAAGAAACAGGAAGCCCATGAGGTGGGAGTGCCGGCGCCGTCGCCGCCAGATGAGGACGTTGCTGGCCTCCAGCATCGACCCTGTTTCCGACGAGTGGGGAAGTGGGTGTGCGAGGAAGCTGGACTGGGTGGAGTGCCCGTAGCCCCACTAACACTGCACCAGGGAGAACCGCCGTGGAAGCAGTACAACACCAACGTCCACTTCGGCTTGAAGCTTCCGAAACCTACCAAGAGGACTGACCCACCAGAATTACGGAAGGCTGCAACCCTGGAGGCCCTGGCCGTTTACCCAAATCCAGACCTCACAATCTGGTCTGATGGCTCTGCCCTAGACGGTACCTAGAAAGGCGGCGGAGGAGCCCTCCTCGAACTGCACCGTGAGGGGCGCAAGATCGAATGTACCGCACCGGCAGAAGTCGTATGCAGCAGCATGCAGGCGGAGCTGGCGGCGATGGCGGAGGCGTTAAAATGTTTCCTGGGACAGCCGGAGCCATCCCCCGCTGCCATTCGGTCTGTCCTGCTCTGCTCGGACTCCCTGTCCGGCCTCCAACTGCTCAGCCGAGGCCCGGCAGCGCAGGAATCGGCCCTGACACGGCATCTGGGCTCTCCTGCACTCTGCTGCGGCCGGGGGCAGAGCTATCAGCCTCCAGTGGATCCCGGGCCACGCGGGGGTCGAGGGTAATGAAGAAGCGGGCCGCCTAGCAAACATCGCGGCGACATCAGGCGACCAGCGTCGGATCCCAGTTGACCTGGCCTGTGCGCGCATCGCCATCAGACACTGAACCGGCCTGCTCACCCTCGATCACTCCAAGCACCACTCACATCTGGAGAACACCCCTGGCCACGACGACCTCGGCCGATGGGGACAGACCACTGTCTCGCAGATCCGCAGCGGCTGCTCACCCCTGGTCCGGGCCACACTCTTCAGGATTGGCCTGGCCACCAGCCCTCTCTGCGGACAGTGCGGCGAAGAGGACACGGTCGCGCACCTGCTATGCGAGTGCCCGGCCGCGCAAGAACGCGAACCCGGCTCTGGGGGCCGCTCCCCACCCTCTAGGATGTGCTCTCGGGGCCGGCTAAATACGTCACGGAGTTCCTCGATCGAGTGGGGTGGACCACGCCACCTGTGGACCAGCCCCGGTCTGCCGCGCCCTAGGTCACGACCGGCAGTGCGCGGAAGAAGAAGGGAGAGCCGGCTGACGCATCGGAACAGGCGCATCTATCCGAGTCCTGCGTCGAGAACAACCAGTCGCTCTGCTCCGTCGACCTGGCCGGCGACTTCCACTCGGGGGCAGATTGATGTTCCACCACTCCCTACCCATCGCCCATCGCGCTCCCATGGCTCAGCACTGGCTGCTGGCAGTGGCAGCACTGGCAGCACTGGCACTGGCAGGCAGTTCTGAGCAGTGCTGAGGGCAGGCAACACTGGCAGCAGCCAGTGCTGAGGCATGAGAGCCCGATGGGTAGGGAGTGGTGGAACATCAATCTGCCCCCGAGTGTACCGGCTGGTTGGCGTCGTACAACTTAACGGCGGTGCCAATCACTCGGGATACTACCTATGTGCGTACATATGCCGTGTACTGTACACTGTACAGAATGGGACGGAACATATTGTACCATTACGACGAGACGCGTCCGCTGGATGGACGAGGCAGACGTCTTGGGCGAAGGCCAGGGTGCACAGAGTCACCGTGCCGGCGGCCGGCAGCCGAACGCCTCCTGATAATAGCCGTACTACAATATGTGTGTTCGCCTGTGCGTGTGTGTGTATAGTTACAGAAGAGATGAATACAACCAACCAGAATCAAATTCTCTCCGGTTAGTTGTTGCGTGTTCTTCAATGCTCGGGTATGGGACGTCTAAGAACATGAATAACCACAAGACATTGATGAGAACTTGGGACATAACACATGTGAAACCCTCTGTGACGAAATTTACGCCCACCTTATTAGGTATGTATGCCAACGTAATAAACTAAAACTACGCCTGTTAGCACACATCTAATTCTAAAATCTCGCAAGCATACTGCATGCCTTACGAATGCTTTGCGGCGCCAATACATTTATGAACGACTTCTATACCTACCTTTGAATTTTGTCATGTGACGTCCTGAAAACGTCATCAGCATTTTTTTTAATTTAGTCCGAACCTTTTGATAGGAAGGATTCACAAGGACAGAGCCACCGCTAATTTTTCAGCTATAGCTTTTGATTAAGCCACATAAGAGCAATGAAAGCATTTTCCATGCGATTATCTTGATAATCCAAAGCGATTGGTAAAGTACATGACCGATTCCAGTCAGGTCATAACCTTCACTAGCGTGATAATCGACCTGAGCTCATGAACTGCGGTAAAATATAATATTAACCAATCGAAGTAAATTGGCATACTATTCGATGCGTCTCGGTGAGAGAATCACAACGATGGTAAAATGGACGAAATGCAAGCATTGTATCAAAAGTTATTGCACAAAAAATATTTGGGGTAAAAACGCACACTCCGCGGATTTCGCCCCCTGTAGGCCAAAATGGTACCTCCATCCAGACGATTTTTACTTTTTGCAACGGCGAGATATTTTCTGAGCATGCTCAATGCATTTTAAACCCGTCAATGAGCGTATCCTGTAAATAAAGTTAAATGTTTTGTTGTCACACCTCATTTTCGCGTCAGTTTACGAATAAATGACGTCACAGTGACGTCATAGATTGTCTGCGATATGTGTTAACTAGGATTTTCATTTATGCAATGAATTTTGACTACAACATTAAAGTTTTGGAATACAACACAACTACACTATTAATTTTATTTTAAAATATATAAAAAGGGTACCATTCTTCAAAAAAGAAGAACCACGCAGTTGCACGTGCTCTGGAAGTGGTGCAACATTAGTTAGAGGTGCGCACCGGTCAGATTCGGGTTCAGCGGTCATTTTTGTCCCAGAAACCACCCTTTGCTAAGCTCTACCCAATTTTGCGTTATTCGGCCCAAAATTGGGCTTCCTTCCCCTGACTATCATACAAATTAGAATCACAAATCCACCATATATGGTATGCATCAGTCGAGTTTGAACAGAAATAGAGAACCCTGACATGTTCATAAAAATATATCCTGTAGTTTACAAATCGTACTGCTAAGACGAGTCTGACTCTGTAGTTTGACAGACGAGTGACAGGGTGGATCTCTGCTGATTTACTATGGTGCCGTAGATACCCATCGCGGCAACTCAGTGTCGAACTGGGGCGGTAAATTCGCCGCCTCAGGCTATAAATCCTGAGCGGATGAGCTTCCCTCATCAAATGTCGATCCTCACACGCGATAAAATCAGCCGAATGTGCGTCAGCGGTGCCAAACCATTGCGAAACAGTGCGTTGCCCCACGCGAGCTTGAGTGCCCCCAGAGAGCTCGCAATTGGCTTTTGGATAACAAACTACAAAGCTTTGAAATGCGATCCAATTACGTTCGTCTCCATCATTAAGACGTTAGCACGAATCAATAATAGTTGTGTTGAATGAAGACAAGCCATAAACCATTGATTTGGGAGAATCAAACGTATGAGACCTCAAACACATAAAAGCTTCATCAGAGCGGCCTCCACCATCATCATTTCGCTGTTCACCCGCACCATACCTTCATCATTCGCCTTTCATTCCACATTCATCCACCTCCACTCCTGCAGGTGGACAAACACCATCCACCTCCATACCACCGTCGTACCACAGTGGAGGTATCAGTCTCCCCTCCATTCCACCTCCACTACCAGGTGGACAAACAGCTTCCATCACCACTCCGCAGACTCACCGCTCTCCACCTCCATTACCAGGTGGACATAATCAGCGAATCTCCGGACGGCGATCTCTCCAACTACCAGTCCAACGGCGAGTTCGACCTGGTCGACTTCAGCGCCAAGCGCAACGTGCAGAACTACAGCTGCTGTCCGGAGCCGTACCCGGACATCACCTACACGATCCGGCTGCGACGGCGGCCCATGTTTTACGTGTTCAACCTCATCCTGCCCTGCATACTCATCAACGGCATCGGTGAGTCCACGACACTACAACAGTCTGTAGGGACAGTATTAAAATCTCTCACCAGAAATAGAAGCATCCTTGAATAAGGTCAGCTTTTCGCTGTTTAAGGAGTACCTATTTATTCACAATTGCCCAGTCTGTGCGGGCCGTCAGCTAGTTTCACACTTTATGCACCGACCAACATCAGCCCGAACAAAGCCACAGCTTCTGAACTACACCATCGCGGGATTCAATCCTCTCCTCAGTCGTGGCTGAATCATTCATCTGGCCAGGAATCACACTGCATTCAGCTGCCCATCCATCGGGACACATCTCTCGGCGGTGTCTCAGGGAGCGTGGCGGGCCGGGTCGGGCCGGGCGGGTCCGCGGAGTGTGTGATGGATGCGCAGAGCAGCAGCGAGACGGGACGGGACGGCACGGACTCTCCCCGCCCCCACCCACCGCCGCCGCCTCAGGCGCTGACTAATGACGCAACTTGGAGCCGGCCGACTCGGGAACCGTCGCACAACTGTCGATAAAGGCGAGAAGCGACGATCATTTGCCTAATGAGTTAGCTGGCGCCGAGAGGTCTGTGGTGCGTTGGACTCGTAATGTGGGCCACTTGAGCCGGGCGGCCTCTGGCAGCAGATTGGGACAGTCGTTACAGCCCTAATACGGCGCAGAGCAGAGCGCATCAAACGAGCGGAAATATCGGATGGCCGTGAGCTCCCACTTTGTGGATTACCAGAGGCCATTAGTGCAAAACGCATTCATAAGTCTAAAAGAATTATGTAACCTACATTATGAAAATCAGAACGTTTAACACAGTGCAAATTAAATTGTAAGATGCTTGGGTAGTGAAGCTCTATTCACTCTTTGAACCGCCGTAAATATTCCAGAGCAGGTAAAACAGCCAAGAGCACTAAAAACGTCCTGACGGAATTAGGCTTGCACTCTGTTGAGTTCTCTATCCAAGCCTGTCATCTCCGTGTTGCCCCAGTCCAGCCGCCGGCAGTCGACGGTTGAGCGGTCAGCCGGCGCGCGGGGACGCCGGCGGACGCTGACGGCTGACGGATGACGCGTCCCGCTCAGCCATTCTTATCGCCGTGCCGCGATCCGATGCGCGACGGATGGGACGCATAACTCTGCCAGTGGCCGGCGTCTGGTGCCGGTCCGAGTCGCCGGCCTGCCGAGCCAGTGCAGTGGCCGGCGCGGCGGGGCGACTCCATCTGGCTGGTCACTGCTACTGTTACTGACCAACTGACCCACTGGGTAGAGGATAAGGCCGGGATATAGGGATGTGCGTTTGTTACCACAACCAGTTGGTCCACAAAAAGTGTTCAAACACTTATTAGCCACATATTAACCCGCGCGGGGCTGGGGTCTCCAGCCGAACGCGCGGGGCTGGGGGAGGGGGGGGGGGGTAAATTTTACCCCCCCTTGTTATCTCCCGAACTAATGGTCCGATTTGGAAAATTCAAACGCCAATCGAAAGCTCTCATCACAAACTACTAAAAACATGTACTTAATTTAAAGTTTGAGGTCAAGGTCAAGGTCAGGTCAAGGGTACAAATTGCAAGTTTCTACAGTATCGGCCTTGCACCGTAGTTGCCGAAAAATGGAGTCATGGACTGAGACTGATCGCCCAAAACGTGTTCTTAGGCTACCAAGACAATATTCGTTGCATAAAATATCATTCAGAGGTCAAGGTCAAGGTCAGGTCAGGTCAGGTCAGGTCACCAAAAAACAAAATATAGAAAAGGGCATGTGCGACACATGTTTTATGGGTCATTTTACTCATAGAATTCAATAGGCACACTCAATAAGTGATATGGACCACCTCTGGATGAATTTCAGGTCGAGGTCAGGTCAAGGTCGGGTCAAGTGAGGTCAAATTTTGAAGTTGGTTGTTAAGACCTAAAAAGGTGTCTATCTGATGCAGTTTTTCACGGCGAATCGAATGGTGCTATTTTTGTTTCCGTACGAGTTCTAGAACTTCCAAAAAAGTCATTTTTCAAAAAATTTGTGTGTCGTGACGTCATAAAATTTTGAATAACTCCCACATTTTTGAACCGTTTCTTCTAAAATTTGGTATGTAGGTGCACATAGACCACTTCTCTGACATATATTCCGTTTTTTTCGATAGACTCAATATTTTGGATTTTATAATGATTTTCCCAAAAAAGTCAGTTTTTTGAAAAAAATTAGGCCAAAATCCAAAATTTTCAAAAAACTGAGATAGCCATTTGATAGACAAAGTAAAATTACGTATAACCTTTTTTGTTACGTCTTGATTCCTTTAAAAATGAAGATGTTAGCGGCGTTTGAACTTTTGCCGTTTTTGAGGCGAAAATGGCGAACATGACGTCACTAAAACGTCAATTTCTCAAAAATTTTCCGACGGATTTCGCTCAAATTTTCAGGGAACATGTCAAATTGATGTAAGAAAAGGTACTGAAAGTTTGGCGGCGCTGCGCGCCGCCGTTTTTGAGTTATCGCAAAAATTCGCGAGGGGGGGTAAAATTTACCCCCCCCCCCAGCCCCGCGCGGGTTAATAGAGAGAACAAATAAGGCGTCATCGTTGTAGCCTGTAGGTCACATCTAGGCAGTATAAGGATGAATATGTTGAGGGCGTATGGTCGCTGTTGGCGGCTCCAATGGGGCTGTCGCCATCAGCACGCCGGCCGGCCGGCGGGGCGTCAGCTGGAGAGCCGCGCCGCCGGCTGGGTAACCAATGAGCCCCTTCGCCGAGCCGCCGCCCCTATCGGAGCCGGACAGCTCGATCGAAACAGGCTGCTGCGGGGGGCCCGATCGGTTCACAGGCCGCTCACACCAGCTGTATGACAATATGGCTCGGAGACGCCGATCGGCGACCGCCGCTCGTAAAGAGAGCTCTGGCCCGAACGGCCGCCGGCGACTCGACGACTCAATGGCTCAGACGGCGCTAACGCCCGCTCGGGGGCCCGCTGGTCAGCCGATAGCCACCATTGACCCGACTTTGAGAATTCATCTGCACCGCTGCAGCGCCAACCCAATCGCCTCTCAAACCACGCATTCGCCACACAAGCCAGACTTCAGAGTTGTACGAACCTCTGTCTAATTAACTAGCTGAGCTCCAGTCAGTCACTGCGTACGGCGACTGACGCTGCCCGCTGCCCCCTTCCGTGACGTCGGCGGAGACTGACTGGCCCCGTTCCGTGCTGCTGAAGTGCTGACCCGCCCCCGTACTGTGCCTGCAGCACTGCTCGTGTTCTACGTGCCCTCCGAGTCGGGCGAGAAGGTGACACTCGGCATCTCCGCCGTGCTCTCCATGACCGTGTTCCTGATGACCATCAGAGAGAGCCTGCCGCCCACCGAGAAAACGCCGCTCATCAGTGAGTCAGACGCCCGCCTCCGGCACCCATCCGTCCCACACAGACGGTATTAGGCAATATTGAGATGGGGGCAGCCAGGAAAGGGAAGTGGTTTGTCTTGTGCGCCATAATACATACAGTTGGTTTCCTTCACGACGATTGACGAATCGTGTGTTTTTTTTTTTTTACAAATAAAGCTCGCGTCATCAACATTCTGAAATGTGATATAATTATGCCTCAAATTATTTGAATTTCAATATACATATATCTAAAACACGATTCCTAGATTGTCTTTGTGTAAGCGGTCTTATTTACCACAACTAGGCCAGCACCCGCATGCTGAGACTGATACGGGCTGGAGACTGTTTCAGCTGATCAGATGTTTTGTGAGTACAGCTTGAGTTGTGCAAACAAATGCCTCGAAAATCGATTCCTCTGAATACCTGCTGTTAGTCGGAATTCCTTCGGGTTTACGATGAAAGTATGACGTTAAGCACCGATTACATTTCGTGCTAGCTTATGCTAGGTATCTTGTTGATGCTCAGTCGATCCATCTTAATTTTGAAACCAACTTATCAAACCTCTTTTACCCGTTTATTTCTTCGGCACGTCACATACTGGCTCTGATATGGTTATGATATATCCTTTTGGGAAACAAAGACTGTTTGGGCCACACGACTTGTAGACTACGTGAATCAGGCTCTGTCGTGTTCTTTGCCTTCCCCAGACGCTGATAAACACGTAAAAAATGGCCCAGCCCGGTCCCACGGCAGGGTTTAGGGTGCTCTTCAACCTGCAGCCACTAGCCCCAGATGAGCTTTTTCCTGAAAATCCGAGATACAACAAGAAGCACGAGGGTCACCAAGGACGTCTTTCGAGTGGGATTGGTTCTGACTAGTTATGAATCAATCTGTATAACGAAATGAGGCCAATAAGTAAATTCCTTTCAAATTGACTGTTCTGAGAGCGGCAGTAGTCTAGCGAATGACTAAGACAAAGGCCCCGTTCAGGTCATTGAGGATACATCGATCGTAACGCCTTTCAATATTTATCATCCAGACGAGATCTAAGCACTTTATATTCAGCAGTGCATACTGAAAGTGAAGTTCCATGTTTTCAGAGACATTTCAGTCATAGCACCACTTCTTCATTATAGCGCGATGAGCATATCAAGCAATAATAGCAGCACTTAATTTACTTCACGTACCACGAATCCAGTACTCAATCGTCCTCCAGCCCTGCATTAGGTATCTCGGAGACGGCTCACCACGACCCGGGCCGGGTCTCCCACAGCTCTGATAGACACGCCGTCCGTGTGTTTCAGGCCTGTACTAAGGGATCACCCTGTGATAGACACGCCGTTCGTGTGTTTCAGGCCTGTACTACGGGGTCACCATCTGCCTGGTCTCGTTCGCCTCCGGCCTGTCCGTGCTGACGCTCAACATCTTCCACCGCGGCTCGCGCGGTATCGAGGTGCCGCGCCTCGTGCGCACCATTGTGCTGGGCTTCCTGTCGCGTATCGTCTTCATCCACTTCGAGAAGCCGCCGATCCGGCCGGGCCGGCCGCGCGGCGCCATGGCGGTGAGTAGCCCTGAGTTTCTCCATGGTAGGAGTCTGCTCAGGATAGACAGCACTGGCGGTGAGTAGCTGTGAGTTTCTCTGCAGGATAGGCGTCTCCTCAGGATAGACAGCACTGGCGGAGAGTGTCTGCGCATATCTCCCCGGGACAGACGGAGTCTCCCCTGGACAGACAGCACTGTTCGGCACACAACTGGCGGGAATATTTCCTGAGTCTGATACGGGGATCAATGCCAACGACTGGTCTCAGGCACCAGCTGCTTCCTCTATTTGTCTTGCGCGGCGTTAAGTTAATTTCCTGTGATTCCCCAGCGGCCGTCGCGAGATAGCACCATTAGATTTTATCACTCGATTCGGGGAATACGGGGCCGTTGGTACAGTAATGCATCAACAACTACTGTTAACGCCAGACGCCTTGAGACCCTAATTTTTCGCGATTATTTTAAAATGCGTGGAATAATTTCAACCATATTTAGGAAATAGCTGTTTCAAGACCTGCCGAAACTTTTTCTTCAAATACATTTTGTTGTCACTTAAATATTTGTGGCACTTGTCATTGACTCGTAATGTTAACTGTTTTTCCATCCTGGATAGAGGCTTTCATACGTCATATGACATTAGGCTCCGCCCACGACTGCGGCATTGACCCGTGCCCATCAGCGACCTCTGTACAAACGACACCCCTGCCATCTGTAAAGGACTATGAATTTCGCTGACGTTTCACGTGCTATGAATCAATTGCAGCAGACCGTCAAGTAAATGTTAGGCTCTTGTTGACTCTTATATATAGGACCAAGAGGACCATCACTCCTCAATCTACTACTCACACATGCTTCGAAAAAACGTTAACGATTCCTAACAAATACGATTTTCGATGTAGGATATCTGTTTGGTGAAATACGAGCGAGCCTTAGGTATGATGTGAAGCGAAGGCAATTACCTAATTATTGCGCTCGTGCATAGCGATGTACAAATCAGGAGCTACTTGATGACATCCGACGTCCCATTATCGCATCATCTGCAACGCCATAGGCTTTAATGCAGGTGAATATTTCCTAACCTTATGTCAGTTATATGACATCTGCCCGTCATTTGCAGCCTATCAAAAATAAAACAAATATCAGCGAACATATCAGCATTGTACAAGCAATGCGCATTGAGCATTTATGGCTCCTCGTCATCATGTCGCTCTTTGGGCACTGTCAGACAAGACGTTACGCACAACTCCGCCGGCTTTCGGCACCGCTCGACCGTCCCCGCTCCCCGTCACAGCGCGAGTGACCGCGCGCCGGCCCGAAACCGCCGCAGGCCAAGACCACAGAGGCGGGGCTTAGCTGTGACGTCATAACGTATCACAGACTGACTGGTGATAGCCTCTACATGCCGGGTGAAAATCTTGCTCGAAATTTAACATTACGAGTCAATGAGAAGTGCCTGAAATATTGAAATGGCGAGAAAATATCTAAATTATAAAAGTTTCGGCAGGTCTTGAAACGGCCATGTCCTGAGCTTGGTTGAAATTCTCCCATGCATTTCAAAATAATCGCGAAAAATTAGGGTCTCAAGAGGTCTGGCGTTAACAGTAGTGTATAAAAGATGTGAAACTATTGGTACAACGTACAAACTGCAAGTTACTGGCTTGTTTATTGGTGGCGCAATTTGTATCAGTCAGGACTGGAATAAAATGGACGTCCGTTTCAATTGGTAATCACACAATTTGCACGTTTTGACAGTGCTTGACCATGACATCAATCGTATTATACAAAAGGACGGAGCTGCTTTCATTCTGCAATGCTTTTTTGCATGAAAGAACACACCGGGCTAATCCCTTCGTCTGCCGCCCATGACGCTGCCTTCTCCGATCGCTCAGTAGACGAGGGCCAAGTCGGCAGAGCACACGGCTCACAAATAGTTACCGACCACACAAAAGAGCCCCATGTCAAATATGGATACGGGGCGGTGAGCCGGGCCGGCTTATTGACTGTCGTTTACATGCGATCGGCGCGGGCCGGGCCGAAAACAGTCGCCGCGCCGCCCGCATAGTCGGCCGACAATAATCCGGCGGACGCGCCCGCTCCGAAAAAGAACCATCGTCTGAGAGGAGACTATACCGACTGAAGAATGGCGCGTCAGCTGTGACGCCTTCTGACAGGCTGGCTGAAATCCACCCAAAGGAGAAAAAAATATATCAATATCCAATCATTAAGTTTGTAAAAGGAAGTAAGCGCGATGTAAAACGGAATTGCGTGCCATTTCCAAGAACACTAATCCGTGGGCTGTTCTGATGGTTGAGCGGATTTATAATTGAATTAATTTCATCCAAATAGACACGAATGCCAAACAAGTTAAAAAAGGTGTTTGTTGTTTTTTAGGGGTGATGCTGTTGTTGTTTAGTGCTTTGTAACTAGTTAGTAGACCACCATTTGCAAGGTAATAGCAAAAACAATATCAAAATAAACCTGGTCATGGGGGGCTTTTGACATTGCACCATTACTATTCCCGATGCCGTCTGCTCCGCTGAGTTCGTAAAGATTTGTGCTCATTTTATGCAACCGAGGGAAAGTTTACCTGTGCAGAAACGACTCGAACCCAGACCTCTTCCGGAATGACTATCTGAAGTGGCAATGACATCGACCTCAAATCCCCCCCCCCCGTCCCCGAATACTCAGAGGCTTCTGTGGCCAAAGTTGGAGTCCAACAAAATTGAAGAACTCACAACCGCGCTGGTGAAGTTCAGAAAAGCTCATGAAAATCCCTTCTGCCGAAACTGGATTAGATTAAGACATTGAGACCTGCAAAACACTTAACTTAACCGCAGTTAGATGAACGAATTGATTGTTATTTAACTTTCAGGCTCATAAATATATATCTCAACAACAATGGCCGAACAGAGGAAACATTACATTTCATCATATGAAATCATTCGCCGGATGGAGAAAATGACAAAACCGAGAATTGTTAACAGGGTCTCGGTTTTTAGCATGTTATTGCATTTTCAGGATCGCCACTTCGCTGATACCGAACTGAGCCAGACACGCTATACGTTCAACCATGTAACGCTAACAAGTGGTATGTCTCCATGCTGCCCCCCGCCCGAGACTCCCACAGTGTATTCTGTGACGGGGTCGGCGCTCGGTTCCAGGACCTGACGCAGCGGGCGGACGGACTGCTCAACTCGCTGGGCCGTGACCGGCGCACCATGGCCGACGGCGACAGTCTGGACAGTCTGCGCTACCCGTGCCGGCGGGGCCACCACACCACCGAGCCGCCCACCATGCTGCCGCCCTCCGGTCAGTGCCGGGAGGCGTCAGTACCCAGTCCCCGCCTCCGGTCAGTGGCGGGAGACGTCAGCAGCCAGTCCCCGCCTCCGGTCAGTGGCGAGATGTCAGTACCCAGTCCCCGCCTCCGGTCAGTGGCGGGAGGCGTCAGCAGCCAGTCCCCGCCCTCCGGTCAGTGGCGGGAGACGTCAGTACCCAGTCCCCGCCTCCGGTCAGTGGCGGGAGACGTCAGTACCCAGTCCCCGCCTCCGGTCAGTGGCGGGAGACGTCAGTACCCAGTCCCCGCCTCCGGTCAGTGGCGGGAGACGTCAGTACCCACTACCCAGTCCCCGCCTCCGGTCAGTGGCGGGAGGCGTCAGTACCCAGTCCCCGCCCTCCGGTCAGTGGCGGGATAGCACAGACCACAGTCCCCACCTCCGGTCAGTGGCGGGAGACGTCAGTACCCAGTCCCCGCCTCCGATCAGTGGCGGGAGAAGTCAGCAGCGGCGTATTTAGAAAATCGCGAAGGGGGGGGCCAAGGGTTTGGAGGGCGCCACCTCACCCAAGGAGGGCGCCATACGGTCGCGAGATAAAAAATCACTCAACGGGGGGGGGGGGGGGGGGGTTGGGAGGCGTTTTTTACCATGCCACCAGTTTTTTTTTGCGTAACCTCGTATAGGTCGTGCTGCATTGATTTTGCATCGTGTGTATTCTTTATACCTACTCCAGGTCACAAAAGGTCAAGTGGTCTTGAAATGCTGCGCCGAAGGCGCGCGAAATTTTTGAAAACAACCTTTTCCTCCGCTTTTTAGGCACGCCTTTTATACGATCACTGTTCAAAGCTCCTCTCGCTCTTTTACCAAATTTGAAGGTATAAAAAATACCTACCTAAGGTTTGGTCGGGCCGCTGCCACACAAACTGTATAGAAAGCTTGGCTCATGGGTGTCGATGTATAAAAGTTTATTGGCGGTGGCATATCTACGCACCAGATCACCGTATCGGATTGATACCGGAGCGCGAGATGCGTAAACATCATCCAAATTACCTCAGACCAGCCTTCATAGCCTTCTCACAGGTGCATACAGTGTACCCACATAACCAGTTTCAATCACCGAAACTTCAGATGCCTGCTGTTGCGGCCGAACCTGTTGACAATACTTAATCGTAATACCTACATATAGATGCCATGATGCACGTAAAGTAGGATCAATCCGTTAAGACCAAAGACGTGTTTTATGCATCGTAGAGCGTAGATAGTTTTGGTAGGTATAGGTACTTCATTCATTGTGCTGAATGCACGTTCATTTGTGGCAGTTTTCACAGGCAAGACATCAACTATGTGCAATAGAACGACTAAGTTGAAGAACATGCCAAAGGAGTAAATAAATGATAGGAGGGAAGCGATCAACGGATGTTGCCAATAGGTAGAAGGGCTGCGATCCACAGGAGGGCGCTAATAGGTAGAAGAGCCCCGATCAACATCCCGAGTTTCGACAGTAGGGCACCGATAGGTAGGAAGTTGGCGAGCAGCAGGAGGGCGCCAATGGATAGAAGGGCAGCGATCAACAGGAGGGCACCAATAGGTAGGAGGGCCCCGATCAACAATCAACAGGAGGGCGCCACCAGGTAAGAGGGTGGCGAGGAACAGGAGAGCACCAATAGGAGGGTGGCGATCAACAAGAGGTCGCCAATAGGTGGGAGGGCGGTCATCAACTGGAAGTCGCCAATGAGCGGAAGGGTGACGATTAAAATGGGGGTGGCAATGGTGAGGAGGGCGCCTTTGCTCAAGAGGATGACACGAACAGGACGGCGTCTGTGCGGAGGGCGCTGGTCAACAGGAAGGTGCCAGTAGATAGGAGGGCGGTGATCAACAGGAGGGTGCCAGTGGTTAGGAGGGCGGCGATCAACACGAGGGCGCCAATAGGAGAAGGGCCCCGATTAGCATTCAACAGGAAGGACTAGGGAACCAATAGGTAGGAGGGCGGCACTGAACAAGAGGGTGCCAAAAGGGAGAAAGGCGGCCTTCAAAATTTCACATGAGGGCGCAATAGGTAGAAGAGCGCCAATTTATGAGGACGCCGATCAGCAGAAGGGCGGCAATGTGTAGCAGGGTGGCGACCTACAGGAGGGCGCCTTCGGGTGAGAGGGCGCTTATTTACAGGACAGCGGCTTACATAGGCGACCACCGTTACGCTTAGAGAGCTACAGCCTACAAATGTGGTTGGAGGGCGCCCGAGGGAGCCCTCCAACCGTATTTGGAGGGCGTATTTGGAATGGGCGTCCTCCGAGGGCGCCCTCCATCCGTATTTTCCCTGTAAACACATTCGCGATTGGAGGGCGCCCTCCAGTCGCGATTGTTTTTCGATTCGATTATATCACAATTGCATTTGCGATTGGAGGGCGCCTTCGGCGCCCTCCAATCGCAAAGGGCGCCTTCGGCGCCCAAGGGGGGGGGGGGCCATGGCCCAGTGCCCCCCCCCTGCCTACGCCCCTGGAAGTCAGTACCCAGTCCCCGCCTCCGGTCAGTAGTGGGAGGCGTCAGCAGCCAGTCCCCGCCCTGCGGTCAGTGGCGGGAGACGTCAGCAGCCAGCCCCCGCCCTCTGGTCAGTGGCGGGAGACGTCAGTACCACCCTACCCAGTCATCGGTCGGGAGACGTCAGTATCCAGTCCCCGCCCTCCGGTCAGTGGCGGGATATCACAGACCACAGTCCCGCCTCCGGTCAGTGGCGGGATATCACAGACCACAGTCCCCGCCTCCGGTCAGTGGCGGGAGACGTCAGTACCCAGTCCCCGTCTCCGGTCAGTGGCGGGAGACGTCATTACCCAGTCCCCGCCTCCGGTCAGTGGCGGGAGACGTCAGTACCCAGTCCCCGCCCTGCGGTCAGTAACGGGAGGCGTCAGCAGCACCCTACCCAGTTATCGGTCGGGAGACGTCAGTATCCAGTTCCCACTCATAACCCGTCACCATTATAGTCTCCATCGGCCAGTACTCCACGGTCCTAACCCCTACCACCTTAACCCCTAACCCCTACCAGTCATACCAGTCACTTCTCAGTAGTTTTCTCAACAAAACAAGCGCTTTGTATGCATGGCATATCACTCTACAACGAACTGCTGCCTGCTGCCGAATCTAGGAACGCATTTCGACCGATCTCGCAGCCAACTCCGTCACACAAAGTTAAATAATTTTAAAGGGACCCTCCCACCTTCAAAAAAGTTAATGAATTGGCATGAAAGTGATGTCACTCGGTTCAGAAAGAGCAAAAACGAATATCTACCAAATTTCATCGAAAAATATTCACCGGTTTTCAAGATATTAGACTTTTACTTGTGTTCACTTTTTGGGATCTCCGCTGTTCCTAGCGACTTTATTTGAAAGTGCGGCATTTGTTGCGCGCAAAGCAGCATATACCACCGCGTGCTACAAAACGTTTTAGTCAAACATTTAACGGACGTCCGAAAGCCTGATGACGTCATCAGATTCCCGTAATGGTTAAGAGATAGGGACCACGCTGGTCCCACCCTGCAAGTAAAGGGAAGAAATTTCTTGAACACCATAAAGCTGCAGGGGTTGCGACCAGGATAAATGGTGGTTTCTGAGCCTGGCCGCAAACTTGGCTATCTCAACTCAAAACTAATGTTAAGGTGGGAGGGTCCCTTTAAGTGTCCGTCTTATATCACCGTGGTCGCGTGGTCTCAGCCGGCGCCTCGCTAACCGCCACGCTCGGGCTGGCCGTGCGTTTGGAGCACGTCTGACCCCAATACTGGCTGTAGCGTCATAGCTCCTCTGGGCGCACCCTGACCCATATCACCGCCCCGGTCTGACCGGCAAGCTCCATACCACCGCCCCGCGGTCGGCGCGCGGCGGGCGGTCGCGCGTATGCGTGCCGGTCGAGCCGCAGACCCATCCGGTGGAGCCGCGTGCCGATCCCACCCCGAGTCCGTGTCTGCCGGGCGTGCCGGCACCGGCGGGAGGTCCGGCAGGCGGTCCGGCGCTCCGTGAGCGCGGCGCCAGCCGCCACTGACGGATATTGTGCCGGTCACAGCGGCGGCGCCGCGCGACCCGCCGTGCGCGACACGCGATATTACAGGCCCGACCGGCGAGATACAGCGTGATCAATGCGCAGATTCGTCCTCGGGGACAGCCGGCGCGCCGGGTGTCGGCACGCCGCCGCCTTATTAGCCGGTGCCCGTAACGACGGCCGGCCGGCCGCCGCCGCCACGCACGGCCCCGGACCCGACCGGCGCCCACACTCAGAGTGGGCCAATGGACGCTGAGCGCGACTCAGTGTGCCAATGGACTTGGAGGTTCGTCGGCGCAACTCCTCGCCACTGCTCAGAGACCACGGCTGCGTCAGGAACGGACGCAGCTCTGGTGATACCGTTTCACGAGCAGCGTGACCGTCTGGAGTAATATCTGGCAATCGTCCAAATTACACACCAGTCACCAATCCTATACAATTTTCCGCCACTCGTCCCATCCGCCAACACAGATATGACCTCGCATGGCTAAGCACTAAGCACTTACCTACGCGGTTCTAAGTCTTGTCACCAATGACTCCCGCTGTGACCAGCAGGTAGTTCCTATTCCAGCCAATAGATGGCTGTTGAGACGTGCGCCTGTCACATGCTGTGCCGCATGACTCCCAGTATCTAATTCTGCCGGTAGATGGCTCCCCGGTAGTGCGTCTTTTACATGAGCATGTAAAAGACGCACTACCGGGGAGCACGACAGCACTGTGCCGCATGACTTGCCAGTTCCCGATCCTGCCGATAGATGGCTCTCAAGTAGTGCGCCTGTTCCACGCTGTGCCGCAGCGCACGTAGTTCCTACTCCGGCCGACAGATGGCTTACCAGTAATACGCCTGAAGCATACTGTGCCGCAACGCATGCGTAGTTCCTACTCCGGCCAACAGATGGCTCACCAGTCATACGCCCGGCGACCACAGGCGTAAACACCTTGGCCGCCAGTCGGCGTTGGCTCTCAACGACTCCGCCTTAGCGGGTCGGAGAGCGCAATAGGGGGCCGCCAGTTACACATAGTGCAATGCAAGAAACATCAATGGCTAGAGCGCGAGCAAACGATGCAATCAGAAGGAAAATGTAAATAAACGACCGGAATTTAGGTTGCACGTGTAAGGAACTGGGCGCCGCGTTACTATCGTCCCCACGGCACCCACTCACGCCCGTGCTCGGGGTTCCGTTTGTATCAGTGAGGTGGTTTTTATATGTTGTTAATAAGACGTGCCTCCTGAAGAAAGGTAAAAAGCAAATCATGTAGCTCTGGATGATCGTCGCCAAGGATAGTTGGCAAATCAAGACTGAGGCCATGTGTGGTAATGTGTCTTATAATGTGTCTCCTGTGGTGCTGTAAGCGTGGGCAGTGGAGTATGAAGTGCTGTATTGTGTATCTTGGATGTGTGGGGCAATAGTGACATATTGGAGGTGGTACATGGTCGTATATATGCGAGTGTGTAAGATACGTGTGTCCTAGCCTCAGTCTGGCCAGCACGGTTTCTTTTTGTCTTGTAGGTTGATTTGAAGAAGAGAAATGGGAAATTGATGGTTTAATCGGATAGAGATGTGGATGTTTGATTGTGTCCCAGTCTCTTTGTCGAAGTTGCATAAAAGAGACGAAAATGTGGTTGATAAAATCTATAACTGGAAGCGGAAGATGATTTCGAGACGAGAAGAGAAGCCCAGTTTTGGCAAGGTTATCTGCCCGTTCGTTACCTTGGATCCCCATATGTGCGGGGATCCAGAGGATTCTTACTTCTTTATGTTCTTTCTGTAGAGCAATCAGCTGCTTTTTTATTTTGTATACCAAAGGATGTGTTTCCGTTTTTCTTGTCATCAGAGTTCTAACAGAAGAAGCCGAGTCTGTACATACTACTGCTTTCTGAAAATGTTTACTTACAACTAATCGCTATCAATTCAGCGCTGAATATGCTGTGGCTGTCGTGAAGTCTGTTTGTTTTTTCATAATTTTGCGAAGTTATAGCTGCGGCAGAGTGTCCGTCTCTCCGCGAGCCATCGGTATAAATATATGCGTCTGCCTGATGCTCTGCTTTGTATTTAAAGAACAGCTGTTGTGCTTCCTCTTTTGTAATTTTTGTCTTTTTATCGGTGAATAGGAAATCGATATGCTTGATTTGTTGTAAGAAGAAAGAGGAAAGTGAAGGTGAGGGCATGATGTTCGGATGGGATATTCGAAAGACGTTGAGCACCATTTGAATTCGAAAGGCGATAACCGGGAAGCGCCTTTGAGGAGCAGTCGGCTGCAGAGCTTCAGTGTAACGGTTGTTTAGTATTTTAAATGTGTGGTGTGAAGGAAAGGAACACGACCGTGCGAAGAACCGAAGGAGCTGGTATTTCCGGCGCTGTGCAAGTAGAGGCAGATTGAGTTCGATATGGAGACATATTATGTTTGTGGTGGACATCGCGCCCGCAACTATGCGGAGTGCTTTGTTCTGGATTACTTGCAATGACTCAATTTTCTTAGAAGCTATATCATCAAATAGAAAAGCATTATAGTCCAAGATAGGGCGAATTAGGGAAATGTATAGTCTGAGAAGTGTGCTTCTATCTGCACCCCACTTCTTACCAGCTATACATTTAAGTATGTTTATACGCCTTTCGCAGCGTTGGGCTATATCTTCGAAGTGTTTATTGAATGTGAGTTTATTGTCAAGGGTGACTCCCAAATATTTAAATTGGTTTACATATTCAATAGGTATGTTGTTTATCTGTAGTCTAGGGGGGTTAGTAAAACGGCTTCTAGGGGGAGCGAATATCATTGCCACTGTTTTAATTGGGGACACGGTAAGTCCCCATTTGTCGCACCACTTTCTAATATCATCAAGTGCCATGTTCATGTAAGAATACGCCGTTTGTACAGACGAATCAGTAACCCAGACGGCTATGTCATCGGCATATATTGAAAATTTAAGTTTAGTAGTATTTGTTTCTATTATGTCATCAATCATTACTAGGAAAAGGGTCGGGGACAACACACTGCCTTGTGGTAGCCCGTGCTCCTGTCGGAAAGGAGGTGAATATGTGTTGCCGCATCTTACGTTAAAAGTTCGGTTGCTCAGAAAGTTTGTAATGTATGAGGCCATTCTGCCCCGCAATCCTTTTTTATGAAGTTTTATTTGGAGGGCAATTTTATTTACTTTATCAAATGCGTTTTGGAGATCAATAAAGACAGCAACGGTATATTTTCTTGTTTGAAAACCACGTTGGATATCATCTATAATGTATGTTATATTGTCTGCAGTTGATCGGCCGTGACGAAAACCATTTTGAAACGGGGAGAGAAGGGAGTTTGTTTCTAGGTAAGCCCTAATTCGCCCATTGACCATACGTTCCATTATTTTAGAAGCACAACTAATTAGAGAGATAGGACGATAGCTAGATGGGTTAGAAGGCGGTTTTCTGGGCTTTAGGATAGGTATAAGGGTGCTGGTGCGCCAGGGTTCTGGGTAGCTGTTGTTCTCCCATAGAGAGTTTAGACAAGTCAAAAAGGTATTGAGACCGGATTCAGTCAGATTTTTGAAAAAGGAGTAAGAAATCTGATCCGGTCCTACTGATGTGTTACCACACCGCGAGATGGCATGTGTAAGCTCGTGGTTCGTAAAAAGTGTGTTGTACAGTTCGCGGTTGTTTGAGTGAAAGTTCAGTGTAGACAGTTCGTGTGCGAGTGTTTCGGTGAGCTGCGGTGTGTATTGTTGTGCTGAGGAGATGTCCGCGTAATGCTGTGCGAAGAGTGTTGCAACGTCTGAAGGGATAGTGTAGTGGGTGTTGTTGATGTGAAGGTGAGGGATTTTGTAAGGGTTGCTGCGTCTTGCCGAAAAACATTTTATTAGTGACCAAATTTTGGACAAAGGAGTAAAACGATTAAAGTTATTTGAAAAGTTTTGCCAGCCAGTGGTTTTAGCGTGGTTAATTATCAAAGAGGCTTCATACTTTGCTTTGCGATAGGCTTCCGCATTTGCCTCGCACACGCGGCGGTGGAACTGGCGGAGTGCGCGTTTCCGAAGGGCTACGGCGCGTTGGCAGTCTGCATTCCACCAGGGAGCTCTTCTGTGTTCTTTTGGGGGGCCAGTATGGGGGATGTTTTGATGCGCAGCGGCAAGAATGACGTTAAGAAATGTGTTTATATCTGGTGGAGGTGTAGACAAGGATTCATCAATATAATTTTGGAAAGACGCCCAGTCGGCCTTCTTAAAGTTCCACCTTGGCAAAAAATTAAAGTTTGTCTGCCCTGAAGGGGCGTTAATTAAATAATGTATGGGATAGTGGTCACTGAAAAGGGAGTCATCTTCAACGTGTTGTGTAAAAAGTGTCGCGGTGTTTGTGTCGGTAATGGCGAGGTCTAGGACGGAGTGTATGACCTCTCCATTGCGTGTGCGTGTGAATGTGGGTGTAAGATTGTTAATGAGCATTAAATCGAGTGAGTTAATTACGTTAAGGAGTTGTGTTCCGCGCGAGTTTGTTTCTGTGCACCCCCATGTGCGGTGGTGTGCATTAAAATCCCCCATGATTATAAAAGGCGGGGAAAGTTGGGAGAAAAGGTCTAGGAGTAGAGGACAAGAAAGTGGGAGGCTAGGTGAAAGGTAGATCGAAAGGACAGTGAGGTCTAGTTGTGCAATTTTGACTTTTACTCCGACTGCGTTAAGCGTAGTTCGGAGGACAATTTCATGATGCAAAAGTTTATTTGAAACGTAAAGAGCCGAGCCGCCCCGGCGGTGGGTTTCATTTACGTTATTTGTGTATAAAGAGAAATCACGAATGTTGAAATTGTAATTATATGTATCTGAATCTTTAAAATGGGTCTCTTGGACGGCGGCTAGTAACGGTTTTTTATTTAACATATAGTTCTTGAATTCCCCCCAATGGGATACCAACGAGTTCGTATTCCATTGGAGAAAGAATTCAGAAATTTGAGTCATTTACCCTGTGTGTGTTTGTTTACTGGTGTTCTTGGGTATAAGCGTGCGAACGAGTAAGTCGTCTTCCCGTCGAAAGGGAGCGAGAGCTGGAGCGAGATGAAGACCTTTCTCGAATACGAGCGGGAGAGGATGCTCGAGAAGACATGGGCCTGGGTTTTAGGTGGTCGGCTAAAAAAAAAAGTCATACGCCTGAAGCATACTGTGCCGCAACGCACGTGTAGCTCCTACTCCAGGTAACAGATGGCTCACCAGTCATACGCCTGAGCCCTGAAGCAAGCTGTGCCGCACGAATCGGCCCTGATGATACGGCGCATTACAAGGCCGTGTGCATGGTGAACTACTAACTAGATAGCGGTCAGGAAGGCATCAGGTCAAAAGTAATGCAAAACATTTAAAAGGCACTGGAACAACAGATTATACACTGGAAAACTGAAACTTACACAAGAAGCGTAACTCCTACACTGAAAGCGGCCGACGAGCTCCACCGTGACCAGGTTTTCTCGCGGCCCTTGGACTCCCCTCGCAGCCGCCTGCTCCCTTGCTCTCCTATATCGTTACCTAGGCTAAGCTCTCATATACAGGTCGTGCGTCATGGTCGGTATATTTTTCTTTTGCCGGGCATGAGGTCATACCCTAATTGGGTATCTATTACGCCGGTGCCGGCGGCGTCCAAGCCGTATCCATTTCCGCGGCTGAATATAATCAGCCGGGGGAGTCGTTAGCGGCTGATCCGGGGCGGCGGGTCACCCGACCCTCTGCCGGGGGCGCAGCTCATGTCTGCCTTATTTACGGGTCATCCCACAGCCTCCTCGAGCAGCACCGGCCGTACTCCACTACATATTCCCCTAAATAGCCGTACTGTTCCAATGCTGACCAGTCTTCCAGCGGCCGCGCTCACACATCCGTGTCCGTTTCAGAGGACTTTGAGCGCAACTTTGTGCGCGTGCTCAACAGGATATACCAGACGATCGAGAGGAACGAGACGCGTCTGGAGGAGCAGGAGTACCGGGACGCCACCAGGCAGGAGTGGCAGCAGGTGAGAGAGAGATACCTACACCAGACAGGAGTGGCAGCAGGTGAGAGAGATACCTACACCAGACAGGAGTGGCAGCAGGTGAGAGAGATACCTACACCAGACAGGAGTGGCAGCAGGTGAGAGAGATACCTACACCAGACAGGAGTGGCAGCAGGTGAGAGAGATACCTACACCAGACAGGAGTGGCAGCAGGTGAGAGATACCTACACCAGACAGGAGTGGCAGCAGGTGAGAGAGATACCTATACCAGACAGGAGTGGCAGCAGGTGAGAGAGATACCTATACCAGACAGGAGTGGCAGCAGGTGAGAGAGATACCTATACCAGACAGGAGTGGCAGCAGGTGAGAGAGATACCTACACCAGACAGGAGTGGCAGCAGGTGAGAGAGATACCTACACCAGACAGGAGTGGCAGCAGGTGAGAGATACCTACACCAGACAGGAGTGGCAGCAGGTGAGAGAGATACCTATACCAGACAGGAGTCGGCAGCAGGTGAGAGAAATACCTACACCAGACAGGAGTGGCAGCAGGTGAGAGAGATGTACCTACACCAGACAGGAGTGGCAGCAGGTGAGAGAGATACCTACACCAGACAGGAGTGGCAGCAGGTGAGAGAGATACCTACACCAGACAGGAGTGGCAGCAGGTGAGAGAGATACCTACACCAGACAGGAGTGGCAGCAGGTGAGAGAGATACCTATACCAGACAGGAGTGGCAGCAGGTGAGAGAGATACCTACACCAGACAGGAGTGGCAGCAGGTGAGAGAGATACCTACACCAGACAGGAGTGGCAGCAGGTGAGAGATACCTACACCAGACAGGAGTGGCAGCAGGTGAGAGAGATACCTATACCAGACAGGAGTCGGCAGCAGGTGAGAGAGATACCTACACCAGGCAGGAGTGGCAGCAGGTGAGAGAGATACCTACACCAGACAGGAGTGGCAGCAGGTGAGAGAGATACCTATACCAGACAGGAGTGGCAGCAGGTGAGATGTACACCAAGGGGTGTGAGTAAATCAAACATGCAAGGCAACTTTGTTTTAAATGTGTTGTTCGTATTTATCGAGTGCGATATTCCATTACAATTTGCTTGCCTTGCTTCGAGTAAAGCTCAATCACTGCAGCCGACTACGCAGAATAACGAAGAATACTCCCGGTATTATTCCGCTAATAAGGCGAAATACGATCCACATTCTCGTATGTTCCGCTAATGTGTCTGAAATGCGTCCTGATCTGTGGCAGCACCGGTGTCCTATATACCATGATTTGTACTGGTGGCGGTGTGAGGCAGACTTACTCAGCAATCCCAGCAACAGTTGCATTACCGATATATACCTGCCCTGACCAATACATAAGTGCGCCACTCCGTAGGTACTCTGCATTGTTGTTGGCTTCCTAGGCACCCTTTCTGACCATCGGTGGCCCAGACTCCAGAGGGCGCCCCCTACTGACCAGCACTGCGTCCCTCCGCCCGCCAGGTGGCCATCGTGTGTGACCGGGTGCTGCTGCTCATCTTCCTGCTCTCGACGGCCACGGCCACCTCGGCCATCCTGCTGTCCTCGCCGCACCTGCACTGAGAGAGGAGCAGCTGCCCCACCGCGCATCGCTGGGCGAACCTGTGCTGAGGGAGGAGCAGCTGCCCCACCGCGCATCGCTGGGCGAACCTGTGCTGAGGGAGGAGCAGCTGCCCCACCGCGCACCGCTGGGCGAACCTGTGCTGAGGGAGGAGCAGTCGTCCCACCGTGCATCAATGGCCGCAGCTCCACTGAGGGAGGAGCAGTCGTCCCACCGTGCATCAATGGCCGCAGCTCCACTGAGGGAGGAGCAGTCGTCCCACCGTGCATCAATGGCCGCAGCTCCACTGAGGGAGGAGCAGTCGTCCCACCGTGCATCAATGGCCGCAGCTCCACTGAGGGAGGAGCAGCTGTCCCACCGTGCATCAATGGCCGCAGCTCCACTGAGGGAGGAGCAGCTGTCCCACCGTGCATCAATGGCCGCAGCTCCACTGAGGGAGGAGCAGCTGTCCCACCGCGCATCGCTGGGCGAACCCGTACTGAGGGAGAAATAACCGTCCGTCCGCCCCGCCCACTGGAAGGCGAATCTGCACTGAGGAGAGGAGGCGACACTGCCGGTCCGCAGCGTCCATCGGGAGATCAGCAGAGCGCTCACTCTTCTAAACGGATCCTCTCAGAGCCCCTCCGCTCAGTGACAGGCGGGAGTCACCCGGCCGCCACCGACATTGGTTCACAGACAGTGGTTGTGATTGGAGGTGTCGGTGATGGCGTTCAGAGACCACTTCGCCATACCTTCAGCCACGCGAACTGAAGGACATGAGGACTGAAAATGATGAAGTTGATAACTGTGTGTGGGAGACATTCACGCTCCTGCGTCCTCTGCTCGACTGCTCACAAGAACCTAAACAGTGTGAAATTGAAGTGATTCATCACTTCGTGTGAACTCCATATAGACCCTCATAAAAGTGTCATGGTCTTTTGTAATTTAGATGACAGGTACACTGAGAAAGGGGTTCGCAAAAAAAGACGAAAAGCGCAAAATCCTGTCAAAATGACACGAATATTCAGCATATCGAGTTGGTGTGAGTTGTGTGACCATGTGTGTAAATGGGGTATCGACAGCGAGCCACCAGTTTTTACGGAGGAAAGCTGTCACAAATGCTGCTGAAAGGAGCTCCAATGATGTAAAACATAAGTGTTCATCTGTAAATATGGCCATTGGCATGAAGATTAACAAGTGCAGGGATGGGATAAGAACGTAATTACCCGGAGAGAAATGATGTACGTGTGTAGTTCTGGTGTAGTCAGAGATGTGTTCCATAGTTTGATTACGTAGGTATGTGATCAGCGCCCTGCAGGAACTTTGGTCGGCGCCGACCGCGTTCCCCGTAACAGCGCCTAGGTAAAGTGAGCGTCAACCGAACGAACCGACATCAACCGTAGCCATCCAAGCAAAAATAAACTCTGAGAGCAGCGATTGTTCATAGTTCAGACGCTCCAGGGCTAAATTGGACGTTACATAAGATTCGTAACGATTGGATCAGACCGGAGTCGCTGATTTGCCGATCGCCGCTAATGACGCCATGGCCCCACTGAGGGCAGTAGAGGACCCGTCTCTCCACTACTGGTTGGTGATTTAGGTAAATCGACCCACGTCGCGACCAGCGTAATTATTGCATGAACAGGAGCCAGGAGTCCCTGAAATCAGAGACTGATACCTAGATAGTGTTTCGCTACAAGTCCTGCTTGGAGCGGCACCCTGACCACAGCTGCTCTCGCTCATCCATCAAGGCATTTTGAAGGACTCAACCTGTATTAATAGCGCAATAGCAGAATAGTGGGTTGTTGTTGTTGAGAACAAATTGCACTCGGCAAAACGGTTAAAAAAATCGGTACTGCAGCTGACCAGCACCATTGGACCGTGTCGGACCCATTTCTATCCCCAGGCCGTTCGAGTCTGAAGGTCATGGCGTTCAACTAACGATGCCCAGATCACAGATGGGAGCTCAGACCCGCCTCAATAGATCTCTCCACTCTGCGGCTGCTCAGCACTGACCTACAAAAATGGACACCGCTCCACTAGTCAGAGGTCCTCTGATTCACTCATACAGCCGATTATTTTGTTTAATTATTTCAATAACTGATGTAACTGGCAATAGCTGACGTCAGCCGCCAAGGTCTCGGATCACCCGGTCCCAGTTGACACGGCAGTGACAGAGTGCCGCTCACTGTGCAGTGGCTGCTCACTACTCAGTGGCAGAGTGCCGCTCACTGTGCAGTGGCTGCTCACTACTCAGTGGCAGAGTGCCGCTCACTGTGCAGTGGCTGCTGCTTACTACTCAGTGGCAGAGTGCCGCTCACTGTGCAGTGGCTGCTCACTACTCAGTGGCAGAGTGCCGCTCACTGTGCAGTGTGCAGTGCCGCTCACTGTGCAGTGGCTGCTCACTACTCAGTGGCAGAGTGCAGCTCACTGTGCAGTGGCTGCTCACTACTCAGTGGCAGAGTGCCGCTCACTGTGCAGTGGCTGCTCACTACTCAGTGGCAGAGTGCCGCTCACTGTGCAGTGGTGCTCACTACTCAGTGGCAGAGTGCCGCTCACTGTGCAGTGTGCAGTGCCGCTCACTGTGCAGTGGCTGCTCACTACTCAGTGGCAGAGTGCCGCTCACTGTGCAGTGTGCAGTGCCGCTCACTGTGCAGTGGTGCTCACTACTCAGTGGCAGAGTGCCGCTCACTGTGCAGTGGCTGCTCACTACTCAGTGGCAGAGTGCCGCTCACTGTGCAGTGGCTGCTCACTACTCAGTGGGGCAGAGTGCCGCTCACTGTGCAGTGGCTGCTCACTACTCAGTGGCAGAGTGCCGCTCACTGTGCAGTGGCTGCTCACTACTCAGTGGCAGAGTGCCGCTCACTGTGCAGTGTGCAGTGCCGCTCACTGTGCAGTGGCTGCTCACTACTCAGTGGCAGAGTGCCGCTCACTGTGCAGTGTGCAGTGCCGCTCACTGTGCAGTGGTGCTCACTACTCAGTGGCAGAGTGCCGCTCACTGTGCAGTGGCTGCTCACTACTCAGTGGCAGAGTGCCGCTCACTGTGCAGTGGCTGCTCACTACTCAGTGGGGCAGAGTGCCGCTCACTGTGCAGTGGCTGCTCACTACTCAGTGGCAGAGTGCCGCTCACTGTGCAGTGTGCAGTGCCGCTCACTGTGCAGTGTGCAGTGCCGCTCACTGTGCAGTGGCCGCTCACTACTCAGTGGCAGAGTGCCGCTCACTGTGCAGTGTGCAGTGCCGCTCACTGTGCAGTGGCTGCTCACTACTCAGTGGCAGAGTGCCGCTTACTGTGCAGTGGTGCTCACTACTCAGTGGCAGAGTGCCGCTCACTGTGCAGTGGCTGCTCACTACTCAGTGGCAGAGTGCCGCTCACTGTGCAGTGGCTGCTCACTACTCAGTGGCAGAGTGCCGCTCACTGTGCAGTGGCCGCTCACTACTCAGTGGCAGAGTGCCGCTCACTGTGCAGTGTGCAGTGCCGCTCACTGTGCAGTGCTGCTCACTACTCAGTGGCAGAGTGCCGCTCACTGTGCAGTGCCGCTCACTGTGCAGTGCTGCTCACTACTCAGTGGCAGAGTGCCGCTCACTGTGCAGCGGCTGCTCACTACTCAGTGGCAGAGTGCCGCTCACTGTGCAGTGGCTGCTCACTACTCAGTGGCAGAGTGCCGCTCACTGTGCAGTGGCTGCTCACTACTCAGTGGCAGAGTGCCGCTCACTGTGCAGTGGCCGCTCACTACTCAGTGGCAGAGTGCCGCTCACTGTGCAGTGTGCAGTGTCGCTCACTGTGCAGTATGCAGTGCCGCTCACTGTACAGTGGCTGCTCACTACTCAGTGACAGAGTGCCGCTCACTGCGCACTGCAGTGGCTGCTCACTACTCAGTGGCAGAGCACCGGGACGAATCGCCCTAGAGTCGAAAGTCAGCGCAGCTATGGCGTCGTTGGCCTCATTGTGTAAAATGCATGGCAGCAGTTTGTGAAACACGAACAGACAATGTTATGATAATGTAAGGACTTACCTGGTTTCCAGTCGGCGAGGAGGTTCGATGACACTTCAGTTGTTCACGGCCACGGCGAAATGGCTCTTGCGGTGCTCTAGTTCTCTTGTTCCATGAGCGTTGGCAGATAGTTACAAAGCTCGACGCTACAGCTCTCTCGACGTCTGCCTTCGCGGTTACAGGCAGTTTGACTTCTACAGCAGGCTACACTACAAGCATTCGAAAGCCAGATCCAAGCAGTCAGCTGTATTCTCTCGGAGGATCCTTTTCCTCCAATGGCCTCGCCGATTCGCACAACAAACAACCAGCTACGGATTAGTAATAAGCGCGGGCAGCAGCTCCTTAAACCAAAGCCAAGCGCCGGCGTATCCGGGGCCCACCCGAGCCCTCAGCTAACGCCGGATACAACCAAGGGAGACAACAAACCAGGACGCCGCGTCTCTGGCGACACACAACGGTCAACAAATCACCGCACCCTACGGCACCGACCGGCGAACAAATCACCGGACCCTTCTGCCCCGGTGGACGAATCACCGTACCCTACGGCACCGACCGGTGGTGACATCACCGTACCCTACGGCACCGACCCGTGGTCACATCACCGTCCCTACGGCACCGACCGGTGGTCACATCACCGTACCCTACGGCACCGACCCGCATGGCCGCCGGGCCTCCGGCGCTCCCTCCGTCCTCTCTCTCACTCTCCCTCTCTCTCTCTCTCTCCCGTAACGCTCTCCGTATAATTCCGATATCGGCGCCAAACTTGTGCGCGTCTCTGTCCCCTACGTTTCCGTTACCGCACCTCTGCGGCCGGCGAGGGTCAGGTACAGCTCTCTCCGCCGCGGACTGTGTGGCACCACAGCGCCGCCAGGGCGGGACTAAGTGCACTTTGTCCGAGACGCCGCGAGCCCGCCCCGCAAGGCGTCATCTGGAGGGACTGGCAAGGCCTGGGCGCGTGGCACCGGCACACTCCGGTCCCACGGCGCCCCTACTGCGACCGGCGAGCGCGCCGCACCGCCAGGGAAGTCATCTACTCAGACCGGCTCCGCGCCGGCCGGCCAGAACATCGAACCAGACAAATCGGAACGGAGGACAGGAAAGAGACATCACAAACGGACACGGAAAAGACCGGGACGAGCCACTAAATCACTAACCTACATGATCGAGAGGACAAGATGGAGCTCAAGTAAAATGCACCGTCTAAATGACAGTATAGATTAGGGAGCAGGAGACAAGAGCCTCAATACTAAATTATTCCACAAGCGTCTCCTCCAAAAGCTTTGTAGCGACCATCACGTCGAAACGACACTAAACACTAGGCGGTCATCTATACAAAACGTTATACAAACACTAGCCTGGACGACAAGCGGACGGGGCGCGCCGATGGAATAGATGAAAGCGCACTTTGAAACGTTTTGGGTCACCGGACAGGGTGTCTGTCGATCCCGCGCAGAGAAAGAGAGCTCCTTAGCACTACCTTAACATAATCCTCGGCCGACCGGCCGGGCGGGGAAGGCGGCGAGACATCTCGAGTCGCCGGCGCGCGGCGCGGGCAGTGGTCGCTCCTACCTGAACTTTGAACAGCCGCCCGCCGCGCCACCTTGTTAGATGCTCGCTCGGAGCCGGACCGGCGGCGGCGCCGAGCGGCGCTGGCCGCCCGGTCGCTCGTCCTCCGCCGCCACTGAGCCTACATGGGCGGCGGCGGGTTGAGTCCGAAGATGGGCGGTTTGGTGTCGACCGACTGGAGGAAGTCGTTGATGTTGTTGAAGTCCATGGGCATGTCGTCCAGGATGGCGATGTCGGGTATGATGTCGCTGGCGTCGCCGTCGGCCGTGGCGAACCTGCCGCACAGACAGACGGACCGGTCACCGGGCGGGCGGGCAGCGGAGCGCGGCGGCGGCGGCCGAGCGCCGCCCGCCGGCCGCCGCCCCCGTCCGGTGAGCGCGGTCCGCTGGCCGGCCGGCGCGGCCCGGCGGCCGACGGCGGCGCTCCGTCCGCCCACTCCCTCCCTCCACAATACTGACCCAGTCCGACAGACAGCCACACAGCGGCACACACCAGCCGGTGTATTATGGCCAATGATTCCGAATACGGCTCAAAAACACAAGCGGAGCGGTGCGGAAAGCGGCGGTGCGACACGCACACGGACACACGCACACACTGCGCGAGCGCGCGGACACCGAGCGAGCGACGGGCGCGCGGCACACACGTGGTGCGCCGGCACACTCGCGCGCCCTCTCACCCACTCACACACAGACAGTCAAAAATAGTCGCCGTGATTTTTTGTTTTGATTATATGCATATTCAAAGTACGTCAAGCGACACACCAGCACATACACTTAAAATAGTCTTACTTAAACGGTGTAGTGCGGTGCTTAACACTAAGACAGCGGCGCGCCCGGGCCGCCGATCTGGACACGGCACGGGCACACAGTCAACAGCAACACATCGGAACGGCCGGCTGCGCCGCCCGTCGGGCACAGTCGTCGCGCCGGTGTCTTTCAGAGCGCGCCCGGCGTGCGCAGCTCACGGGCAGTCTGTGCGACGCCGCTCGGTGACCGCTCCTGTCCAGTGAGCTCCGGGCCGGTAAAACGCCAGCGGGCACGCCGCCTTGTACAACTACACGGATGAGCTTATAACAATGACAGCCGCCGGCCGCACCCGGCCTCCCGATGCCTCCTACGCGCTACAACTCTCTCGCTCAGTGTGTGATCTGCTCTAAATATGCACGCGTATCACAACGTTCCCGAATTGCACAGACATATCGCACCTCGCCCGCTGCTAGCGCGCCGCTGCACACTGGTCGGAAACGCCCTCACGAGAGGCCAAGGGCGATTCCGGAGTTTCGGATTATTTTTTATATAGATCGATTTGAAATTGATCAAATTATTATACTTAGGCCAAAAAAACTAATCCGGGTGACCAAAAATAGCTGTAATCAGCCCCCGAAGATGGGGTATCCCAGAACTCGGAAACTGACGCGGAGCAAGAGGTTTCTTGAGCCGGATATTCAGAGTCTTATTGCTGATAGACACCAAATTGAAATCCCACATATTATGCATCAAAATGTTCGTTATGAAGTTGCCGACTGGTCAGTGCAAAATTTTTGGTATACTTTTTCCCTAACTAAGATGTACTATAGCTTTTTTATGAAGGCTCTCCTACAGTGATTCTGGAATATAACTGCAAAGTTTAGGTAAGGAAACAACAGGTAGTCCCATCTAGTTCCACTCTGATTTTTTTTGTGAGATGAAGTAGGATTTAAATTTACACCAGGGCAACATAAAAGCTAACTGCGCATATTTGCGCAAAATTTGCAGGAGCCGCTCTTCCTACCCAACTACCGCCCGCCCCGCCCCAGTTTCGGCTCGGCCGCCACGCCCGGCTTACGCTGACCTGTGTGGCCTGCACGCATCCATGCGTAGTTGACTGGTCATTAAAAACAGATGCGCTTGAGTTTATGAATTTTGTGAAAAGCGCGTTTTATGTATGCATTTATGTATGCATTGACATCAAAAGCCTTCCACATATTGCGTGGCGATTACGGCTTGCATTTAGAGAGCCTTGCTATTGACAGCCTTCACTCGGCTGAAGAAAGTGGAAATTGAAACCTTCGTGAACATAAGACGCTGCAAATATAGGACACCTGTCACTGACGTCGGGTTACCTTGGGCCGTCTTTTTACATTAGATCACAATTCCGGTATTTAACCCTGGCCGGACCGATTGGTTTTCTACATTGACCGGGGAGGGTTGGTACAACTCCCTCGCCGTTTCGCCTCTAATTGAGCTAGAGCCTCGCGGAAAAAAAACAAGCTTGTGTGCCGTTATAAGACGCAAAAATTAGGTAGTACCCGATTTTAAGGTCTTAGGTCAGCCAGTGACCTCTTAGGTCAGGTAAGTGCCACAAGGCACGGGCTCGGTTTTAGGCTAATTACTTTGCCAAAAATGGTCGCACTGCCGCGATTTTGGCATAATCGTGTTTGTCTAGCTCAGGCGCGTTGAATGCTATACTTGGTGTTCGGGTGAAGTCAACTTAACCCTCGCCGGCACAGGCCATTTTGCGTCCTTCGACGGCACAAGGGGGGGGGGGGTTGGTACGACCCCCCCTCGCGTTTGTCCCCTGATCGAGCTAGAGCCTCGCGGAAAAAAAAAACGAGCGTGCTGCCCGTCACGAGAGGAAGCCGATGATACCCAATTTTAAGGTGCTAGGTCATCGGGTGACCTTCCAGGTCAGGTCAATGACCCGAAAACCGGGGAAATCGGGACCTGTTAGAAAGTCGTAAATTGTGGCTGCTATGTGGTTTTCCGGGGTGCTGATCACGATTATCGTATTAGTTTTGATCAGAGATGATGTCTTTAAGCATTTAGACCAGGTCGGGTCAGGTCAGGTCAGGTCAACCGGTAGGGGTTGTGACGGGTATTCGTAATACGTGTCAACCGCCTCTGCAGACAGCTTCGTAACATGTTACGAAAGCGCCAAAACTACTTCGTAAATGTTCAAATGGTTGCTAAATTAGAATTCAGCTCCAAAAACTAGTCTAGAAACATGTAAAACTCGAAAAAGTGAATCGAGGTCACCCGAGGTCACCAAAGGTCAATGACCTGACCTGACCTTCAGGTGACCTTGACACCCATCCTAATGTATGGGAGCAACATCAAATCACATGTTTGAACGTTTGAAACCACAAAAAGCTTGCAAACGCGCGGCTAATGCGATCCGACATACGCTGAATCGCGATTTCGGCCAAACATGGTCACGGAAAAGAGGTCACAGGTCAAAGGTCATTGGGGTCAGGGTCATGAAATTTTCAGGGTGGGTGTAAAATTGATCAATGCGAGGGTACTGAAAGTTTCGTCGCGATCGGCCGCTTTTTACGCGAGTTATTCGCGAAAAATCTTAGGGGGGGTTGCATCAACCCCCCTGTGCCGGCGAAGGTTAAGGTGTTAACCTCGGGTCAAGGTCAGGTCGGAGCCCCTCAGGTCACGAAAATGATTGATGGAGGTCATATCGCATATCATTCGATTCGGCAGGTCTTCCTGAGTCCAATGGTGGCTTTCCCGACTCCCTAGCTCCATCTGATCAGGAGTTATTGACGAAAAACTTACATGGCCTTAGTGACGTCATAAATGACGTCATGCAAAGTCAACAATGCTAAAGTCAAGCACTGGACCTTGCAAGGAGTGTATGAAACCATTCCCGGTGCCCGAATAGCAGCTCCCAATTTCCCTTGTTGACTTAAAGTGGTGCTAGATCCTGTATTATACTCAATTATGACGTCATAACTTAACAGATTCACGTCATATATTTAGTGCTTGACATCCAAATGATAGCTTACATATGACAGAGAAAGTATGCAAAGTTTCATGAAGTTTGCTTCACTAGTTGTGGAATAACAAGCAAAAAACTTTTGCAGAAAGGCCGCTGGCCTCTCGCTGGAGCGTTTCCGACCAATGTGCGCTGAGCGGGCCGGCCGGCCGGAGTGCTGCCGGCCGGCCGGACGCTTGGCACAGGCGCGCCGGCCAGGAATGTGAACAGCGTCACGGCAATTTGGTGTGTATGTGTGTGTGTGTCGAGCCACCCGGCGGCGCGGCCCCTCTATTCTCTACAGTCGGCCTCTGGCGGCGGGGCGGCCGCCGCACGACTGCCGCTATCACTTACATATCACATGAAAAGCCACGCGGCGGCAGCGCCCGCGCGCAAGCGACAGTGAACAACGCCACGCGACCGCACCGGCGCGCGGTCAACAAGCACAGACGACCCCAGACAGACAGAGAGGAGACCGAGAAACAGCTGAAGGCGAAAAGGACGCGGCCCGGCTCGCTGCGCTACCGTACGCTACAGTCAGTCACGCGGACACACTGAGACACCACACACACACACTCGCGCAGACAGACACACAGACGGCCGCCGCTGCTCCCGGCGGCGGCCGCGAGATCGGCGGCGGCCGCGCGCGTCCCCGGCGCCGGCCCGGCCCGCTCCAACGCCGCACACCTACAGCGCCGACCGGCCGACCGTCGGCGGCGGCGGCTTAAAGCACGGCGAGACCGCCCGGCCGCCGGCGCCCGGATAAACTCTGAATCAGGCGTAACATCGCTCGACGCGACCCGCTTCGTACAAGGTACTCGGTTGGCTGGGCGGCTGCGGTGGCGCGTCTCCGGCCGCGGGCAGACGCCAACAGTGTCAGTTCCGTCACTCGCCCGCGCGCGCCTGCAGTGGCGCCGGGCGGCAGCAGTGGCGGCGCGCGGCCCCGGCGCTTCGGTGGTCGACTCACAGAGGTCGGCCGTGTGGGGCGGCGCGCGGAGCTCGGCCGCGGCCGGCCGTGTCGCCGACGACTCGTTACAGTTCCATACAGGACTGGAGACTGGAACCGCGGAGACACGCGGCCGTAGAGTGGACAACAGGTCAACCATCAACAGAGCGGAGCGACGGGCAGAATTGAGCAGCGGGCACTACGGGTTTGACAGATCAAATAGATCCAATTAGCTATAGAGAACTAGGTACTCATTTCACGACCCTTATATTGAAAGAAAATATATTTATCCTGAGAACAAAGGAAAATAACTATGTCAGGAAAAAAATAGGAACAAGCAAGAGAATCACCGATCTCCTTTGATTCCAGTTACCGGTGTCTGTTTACAGTTCTGGCAAAGACAGTTACTCAGAGAGAAAAAAAAAAGCGCGCGTTGAATGAGTCCAAGATCACCTTTTTTGGAGAGAGGGGTACGCAGCTATTGCAAAACGCGGCCTAACACTGCTATAATAGCCGGGCATTAAAAGTTCTTAAAGACGTAGGACCTCCGAGCACTGTAGGACGGGCGGTATCAGATACGTGGATTTTGTCACAGGCGAGGGACAAAGCTTTTAAATCAGCCAGAGGAAGGTGAGCCTTCTAGACACTAAAAACGGTGCAGTACCGTCTCACACCAAAACAAATTGATTAAGGAAACAAAAGTCGAAACGTGATAATCAGACAAAACGATACTTACTTCAACATAACAACACATTTCGAATTAACTTATCGCAAAATATCCTCAAGCCGCTGATATGCGTAATGAATGGAGGTCAACTCTTAACCACCCGAGGTCAGCTCACTGACCGATATCATCTGTCTTATCCCATCGTAGAAACTCCTTCCAGTCGCGCCTGTCCCTTCCCGCACTCAGGAGCCTACATCTACATCTGCTCAACTCTAGCTCTAGCGTCTACTTCTACAACTACTACGCTGGCTCTACCCCCGCCTACCCCCCACTACCCTCGCTGCCCTCCCTGTCCCATTACTCACGTGGAGACGGACTCGGAGATGGCCGAGTTGACCGACGGCGTGTCCCGGTTGGTGTTGTCGGGCGATGTCGGCGAGTAGAACGTCTGCGGCGTGTTCGGGTAGCTGTCCATGCCACCCACACCCGACCACCTGTGTGCCAGTGGCGGCACAAAATACAGTCAGACCGACGGAATGAGACGGCGGCCAGCACGGAAAGGACAGCGGGATTTGTGACTGAGTTTATCGACCCTTACCTGGAAGCGGCTAACACATTACATCAGCGCAGACTGAGGAGCAAATCTAATTAACCAGTTTTGATGTCATTTCCTTACCAAATATGCAATTAACAATTATTAGCTTCATTATGTTTGTAGCATATCTGCAAACGACGGCGTCAGTTCCTGACACACAATCCCGATGTGTGGACTACGCGCGGCCTACTGACCCCGGCACGTGAGTGACGAGCAGCGGGCGGACGTAGCCGTTGTTGGACGTGTTGCTGCTGCTGTTGATGGGCGTGTAGTACTTGGAGAAGGCCTGGTCCTTGATGATGTCCGGGTACAGGTAGATCAGGTGCTTCAGGTCCGACAGACGGTCGGCCAGAGAGCGGATCGCGAAGTCCTTGTTGGTGAACGGCTGCAGCATGTACACTTGTTGCTCTGCGGGGAGGGAAAGCGCATCAAGACCTGCATCCTGACAAGTGTAGTGCCGATGGCGCGTACTACAGTCACATAACGAGACAAAGGTCAACACAGCTCACAGTCCCCTGACCACCAGCCACCACCCAGCCGCGGTCCGCCTCCCCGGTATCCCATGTACGCTGTGCGTACCTCCGTTCTCGTGCGCGCCCCAGGCGATGGTGATGCCGCCCAACTCCGAGTCCGAGTAGCGCAGCAGGAAGGTGCCGTGCGGCCGCTGCTGCAGCATCTCCTCCGCCTGGCGGCGGCCCACGAAGCCCATCACCAGGCCGTCGTTCCACGGGCCGCGCAGGTGCTCGCGCGTCAGCTTCATCACGCCGTAGAACCACTCCCAGAAGGTGAAGTTGCGGTCGGTCAGCGGTTCCTTGGCGAACTGCTGCCACGTCAGCATCATGTTGGTGAAGTCCTGCACGTGCGGACTCCTGCAGGGCAACCACACGGAGACGTCCAGTCAGTTAGGTCAAATACACCACTATCCATACACCCCTCAGCACACGTTCACACCCACTGCCGCACCGCCCCGCGTTCACCCTGGTCCGCCGAACTCACCTGAACACCTTTCCGGCCAGGAAGCGCAGGTTGTCCTCGGAGAGCGGCTTGCCGGTGGCCGATTTGAACTTTGTGCTGAGCGCGTCGGCCACCTGAGCCCAGGAGACGCGCTCGGGGATGGCGAACGGGATGCGGCCCGGCTCGGCGAACGCGTTGTCCCAGGTGACGGTGGCCCAGGCGTGCGGCTCCTGGTTGCCGTGGACGATCACCACCACCGGTAGGGAGAGCGTCCACACCTGGCGGGCAGGGAGAGCGAGGGCTGGGGTGACGCCTGGAACAGCGAGTCTCCGGTGGCACAGAGGTAGGGACGGACGGCACGGGGCGATGACTGGAATCACAGCCCAGCGCCGGTGCGTGAAGCATACACGGATGTCGAGCGAAAAACGAGAAGCCGGCGTTCGCGAGAAGCATCACAGACCCACTGGCTCAATGTCGGCCAATACGAGCACGCCGCGGTCAATGGGAAAAGGTTACAGCGGGGCTGCGGCGGCCTACCTGGAACACCAGCTCGCCGCCGCCCACGGTGAACTGCGACTGGAAGAGCAGCGAGAACTTCTCGTCCATCACCGACTCCGTGCCCTTCTTCTCGGCGCGCTTGATCTTGCGCAGCTGCATGTTTCTGAAAGGAGCAGAGAGGCGCAGGCGTTAGTACAGACACGACGGAGCGTCAGGTCACTGCCTGGCAGGTCAAAAAAATGGTAACTAAATGAGAAATGCGTAGGTGTCAGTCAAACCACTACCATTATTACAATCGCAGAAAAGAGAAACCCCAACCATCATTTAACCAGAAGCGTTAATTAACAAAATATGCGGCAGCGTATCGTTTGCTGCTGCTGACAAGTTCTCTGTAAGTATTCGCGCTGCGTCGCATTAGGTTACCATGGCAAACAGCGCCCTCGCAAATTACGAACACCGAGATAGGCACCAGTATCGAGAACCGACATCGCATGTCGTATTTAGGACCGCACAGCTCTGACGTGCGTCACGGATGACGCACGGCGAGCGGTGCGCAGGGAAGGAGGAGGGAGCCGCCCCGCCCCGACCCAGCTCCGTCTGCCACGGACCTGAAGTTGACGGCCAGCTGGCGGGTGGCCTGGTGGTACTCCATGGTGCCAGTGTTGTTGAGGATCTCGCCGCTGGCGTCTCCCTTGTTCATCTTGTCGTTCTTGAGAAGCAGGTTGGCCTGACCTTCACTGATGATGGTCACCTGGCGGTTGGGCACACACACACACACACACGATCAGCGGCATTCACATCCAAACAATCCCTCCTCGTACAACACATGGCTCTTAGATATAAAACATATGTGCCGATAGGAAGCAAAAATGGTTGGAGAAAAACAAAATATTGCATCTAGTCTCTGAGCCGCCAGCAAGTGAGTAAACTACACCATTACAAAAAAAACGTAAAAAATAAAAAATACACAAAAAACACATGGTAATACCATTCGGAGGGACCATTCCTCTCCGCACCGTGTATGTACGTAATTCCGTCCCAGTTCATCTATCTGCCGTCCCAGGAGCGCCATAGGACGGCCGCCCCACCCGGGAGCGGTGGGCGGGCCCTCGCGTCTCCCCCGAGAGCACACGCTCGGGATTGATCCAGTCAGGTTACCATGCCAACCGCGCCGTTCAGAATCAACAGCGGGCATATACATGCGCGCACATATCCATCGACGCATTAACAGTCAGTTAGCAGGAAATAGATCTTATTATCGACAGTGAAACGCGCCGGTGAGCGCGGCACACGTACACGTGACGCCGGGTTCTGAGACGGACGGACGCGCCGGGCTGCCGAGGGGGCGGGGAGTGCGAGCAGGCCGGTCGGTCGGTCGGTATCACCTACCTTCACCTGCGGCGGCGACATGTGCACGCTGAGTTTGGCGCCCACCAGCAGCCGTACGGTGGCCGTGAACCGCGTGTTAGTCTTCATCACCTGCGGCGGCTGCTTCTCGATAATGAACGTGCTGTCGGAGCGCGCAGGGATGCGGCGTAAGATGGAAGAACACCCTGACAGGCAACCATGGCTCCTGTAAGCAGTGGCTTAAATTCTGCTAGGACGACTGAGGTTGGTGTTTTCAGTTTTACGAACACTAGACGCTATTACCATTTTGCCTAACCATCCCCAAAGGTTCTCCAATAGATGTCCTTTGAACCGATCGTTGCGGGATTCACGATCGTCCCAGTAATCGTCTCCTGACCCGTGATCGTCCCACCTGGTGACCAGCGATGAGAGCAGCTGGGTGATGTCCTGGTTGAGCTGCGGCAGGATGTCCACGCCGCCCGGCGGGTCGATCGGCACGCGCTGCCGCAGCCGCTCCACCTCCTTGATCTGGTGGCGCGTCTCCCAGATGATCACTGATAGCTCCTCGCACCTAAAGGGGCACACGGAGACGGCAGGCGTCAGACACAGGGACCTTCGGGGCACGAAAGACGACTAAGGTTCGACAACGAGGAAGGAATTATAAATCAAAGACCACCGAACTTACAAATTACCGACCCCTGTGGCCAGAGCAAGTACTAGGGTTATGAGAACGGCAGACAAACTAGGTGAGATATTTATTACGAACACAGCACTACCAGCAACAAGAGAGACACCACCACCAGGGACCGCCGGCCGGGTCGCTCGCTCTCACCATTCCTGGATCTGGTCGAGGTTGTTGCTGAAGGGCGCGCCGTTGCCGGCCAGCTGCTGCTCACGCTTCCACCGGATCAGTTCCTCGTCGAGCACGCGCGACTGCACCTGGGTCAGCAGCGAGACCGTCTCCTTGTGCTTGTCAGCCAGCGCCAGGCGCATCTGCAGCAGGCCAGATACCTGGCCGGGAGCGAGGACAACGGTCACATACGCGCAACGGCACACAGGTCATCACCCTAAGTCGACCTCACCCAAACAAAAAGCCTGTCATTTGATGCGCCTAGCCATGACAAAAACGATGGAGGAAAAATCGCGGCTCTGCGACCAAGTTCGGCAAAATTATTTAACAAAACCAAACCCCTTCCTTGGAGCACTTGGGTCACCGGTTGACCTGAGACCGTAACATTGGGGTGGTTGACCTGAGAACTTAAAATCGGGGTAACAGTTTGTTTACGTTTGCTAATTTGGTAAATCAAGCAGCAAAACATAAAAATGAAAAAAAAAACATGCTTAGAAAACATTCGCTTTTAACATTCACCCGATTGGTGTTCAGCTGCTGAACAATGCTGAACTTCAGCATTGCCAACTGCTGCAATTCTTAGCGTTCTCCATCCACAAAGAGAGCACGTGCCTTGCCCTACATTCGGTCGTGCAAATCCAATACGTCCCCGCCCATAGCGCCGAGAGACGGCCTGGGGTTGCCTCTGGCCGCCGGCAGTGTGTGCGTACAGCGCGGCCCGGCAGTGCGCCGGGATCGATAGCTGCTCTCCGGACCGTCTCAGCGGGACGACCGCTGGGACTGACGGACCCTATGTGAGCGCGCACGTGTCTGTGTGTGTGCGGAGGGCCGGCAGAGCGCGACAGAGGGCGGGGGTCGGTACTGCAGCGCGCCCTGGACATGTGATCAGAGGTGTGGCGCAGCGGCCGTCTGATGTGTGACAGCTGTCACGGCTCGGCGCTGCCGGTCCGTCAGCCGCCGCCGCCGGCCGCCACATCCGCCGGCGGCCCGGCAGAGCTGACGCCGAGCTGCGAAGCCCGGCCGACGACCGGCACTCGCCTTCGTGGAAGCGGGATATTGACGGGGTGTCGGTGCGGCGGAGCGCGGCGGCCGTCGGCAGCGGCGGCCCGGGCTCGGCCCGGTGGCCGGGTCAGCGGGTCCGCGGCGGCAGAGCGCTGACCCGGTCACTGGCGCAGTCGTGCGCCACGACACACCAGCCGCCCGCCATTAGCCTGCCGGGTCCTGTTCGTACCGGCGAATGAGCTCATGCAATCGGGGCGCACCGGCCATTTTATAGCGGCGATATCGCCATAAAATCTCAGATAATTATCTAACGACGAGACGGCCAGGAAAGGCCGTAAGGAGCGCCTACTCACAGGCCGTCAGTTTCCGAATCAAACGCGTTCCGTGACGTGAACAGCTCGTGAGCTGCGATGTGATCTGTTGACTGACGTCACCGCTGTGAATAACTACCTCGGCCGTTCGTTCCCTGGCAAATGGCTCTCCGTTCCCAGCACACTGCGTCATGGGTGCACCCCCGCCCACGCCTTCCGTGAATGGCGAGATTCCATGTTCGCCGTAGGGCGGGCTGGGCGGCTGGTAACCGCGCGGCCAGTCTGCACCGCGCGGCTCGCGGCGGTAGCTCGCGGCGGCCGGCCGATAGGGGCGGCTCGAGTGGCCGCTGTGTACTGTCCGTCTGTGTCAACACGTCGCCGACTGTTTACTGCAGTCAGTGGCGCGGCGTCGTAACCGCTTCAGCCGGCAGCCGTACCGATGGCAGAGTAGCGTCCCCCCTCCCTCCCCGGGTCTCCACTCCGAAACCCACCTTCTGCGTCAGGGTGGACTCTGTCAGCTCCTTCTTCCTCTTCAGCTCCTTCTCCTGCTCGACTCCGAGCGGGTTCTGGCCGCGCTGGCCCTGGATGTGCTGCAGGGTGGCTGTGGGCGCACGGAGACAGCCCGTCAGTGACCGGGCGGCAGGCGAGGCCAGTCAGCCAGTGACCAGGCAGCAGACACGGCCGGTCAGACAGTGTCCAGACCACCGACACACCGGCTCAATGGGCCACAGCTCACAGATAATGACCACAGACAGTAAACACGCATTACGTAAACGAACACAAAATGAGCGCAACTGGCCTGACCTTAGTATCTCTCGCTTTATTCTACGGACGCTCAGCACACTACTCACTGGCCATATAATTTCACCTAGCACATTAATGTCTAATTTCCACCAAATATAGTGGTAAGTGCGGTCGCGGAACATTTTCTTCTCGGAATGTTCAGCATAAGTCTGAATTATTGGTTTCAAACTGCCACAATCATATGCAGTCAATCAGGCTATGATATGTCGTCCCAGCTCCATTTCCCCCGCAGCAGCGGCAGTGCCTCCGGCGTCCCCATACCCCGAGGATGTAGTACACCGACCGCGCTGCCGCCTTCCCGTCAACAGCAGACGGCCTGCAGCAATGTCTCCCGGCTGCCCGGGCCGGAGACCGGCAAAAGGTCGCCGCCCGCCCGCCCGCCCGCCCACCGCCAACCCGCCCGCCCGCCCGCCCCCGCCCACCGCCGACCCACCCCGCCCGCCCGCCCCCGCCCACCGCCCACCCACCCCGCCCGCCGACAGCGGCGAAGAAAGTCGGGCGGCCGGCCGGCGCTTCCCCGAACCCATTACCAAGTAGCCTCCCGAGGGTGATAGATGGGGCGGGGTGAAGAGAAGGGCTGGAGAGCCAGCGAGTGAGGCGCAGATGGGGCGCGGGAGCAGATGCGGCGAGAAGGAATGGAAAGATAGGGGAAGGGAGGAAGCGGAAGAAACAATGACAATGTTTATGCATGTAAACATCCCTGTGCTAAAGCAGACGGCTAATAAAAGGAAGGTAAATGAAAAGCTCAGCGTATATCGACCGAAAAATTCAGGGGATGCCTAGCATATCACACACATCATAAGTTACCGGATAATACGAAAACTTCACTCATTTCAAAGCTTGGCACCAGGTAGCACCGGCGTCTCAGCAGTAAGCAGGCGCGCTTTCCTTTCCCTCTACCAGCCGGTGACCGCCCACCCGGCCGGCACCACACCACTACCACTACCACAGTGATCCCACCGCCAGTCGTTCCACGTCGGTCGCCGCCCCGGTCCGGGGTACGGCCCCTGTGGCCGCCCTGCGTGACAGCCCAGCCGGCCGACTGCCGACGGTACAGCGCGCCTTTTTACCGCGTCACCAGCCGTGCGGACATGCGGCAGACGGTCCCCGATTGGCATCAGTCTGGCCACCTTACCGCGCCGCCGCCACCGGGACATAATGAACGGGGCGCGGCCACAGGTGGGCCGCCATGGCTGTCGCTTACAGCACTGTCTAGACCGGCATGGAGGGTTGCATGTCACCGCTATGTAAATTAAATACACAGAACTTGTCCAGGGTTCCACAGAATGTGATGTAGCTTCCGATCCATTATTTACAGAACTTCTAAAAAAAAAAAAACGTATCGCTGATCGCAAAAGGCTTCAACTACCAACTCAGCACAGCCCAGCTTTGTAAAGACGGCGCATGACCATAAAGACGTCAGTTGTTCATCCGGCTATGTTTTCCTCAGTTCTTATCCGGCTATGTTTTAAATCGCATTGTAATGAAGAACAGAAAGCTCCCGTTAGTTTGTGGATTCAAAACACTTCTCTCAAGTCTCATCCCATGCAGGGATAGGAAGTCTTCGTAGTCAGAAATTTCAGCCTTGCGATTGCTCTCTAAAACGTTTCACACACAATGCACGGCTATGAGCAATGAACATTTTACAGACCACTCGTTCGTTTAGCGCATCACTGCTGTATGTCCTTTGAAGCTATTTCTGAGCGTTGGGCACGCACGTAAGACAGAAAACGGTATTTATGAATGATTATCAACCTCAAAGTGAAATATGAGCGAAGCTCCTTTCAGCCTAAATAACTGACAGAAATGGCAAACATGTGGGCAAGAGAACAAAACGATGCAACAATATATTTTCTACATTAAAGTTCAACCACGCAGCAACTACTTTCGATAAAAAAGCAGCTAACTATTATTGCATGCATGTTGCATAGTTTGCTATCGCTGCAGTTGGCGTTTTCTTTTCATAAGGAGCTACTAAATTAAAGCACAAGGAGTTACTAGCTGACTAGTCCGTTCCAGTCTAATAGGGGCAAAGTCTTTTCCTCCTCTGCCGCAGCTCTCCCACCTCCCAGCGACTGACCGTTGAGTTTGGCGCACTCGTGGTACTGGATGGCGAACGACTCCTGTTCCTGCTTCATCTTCTCGTAGTCCTCGCCGGCGTCGTGGACGCGCTGTCGCAGGTACTGGATCTGCTGGATAATCTCCGAGGCCGTGTCCGGGATGAGCGCCATCCCGCCGGGCGCCATGCCCTGCAGACCGGTCTGGGGGACGGAGCGGGCGTCACACGCCGCCAAACGGCCGGGAAATACACAGCCAAACGTCAAACAGAACGGAATGTCAGCCACCGCCAGACGGCCACCACCAGAACACTGTCCGACGAGACAAAACACATGTCACGTTTTTAACCCAACACACATTAGTGCCTCCATGTCAAGCTTTAGAGCATTTTTTTCTGCGCCCCAGATGAAGCCTTATTGCCTATATGCATACTGGATGACGCTTTTCCTGCAGGCCTCGCCGGATGTGGAGACATCACATGTAAATCGGGCGGCCGAGCGAGAAAATTGCCTGGCTGACACACTGCCGCCAACGACTGCCGCGGCCGACGGGTAGATCCCCGGTCCGCCCACCACACTGCCGTCCCGGCGGCCGCGGGGTGGAGCGCCGCCCGCCACACTGCCGTCCCGCCGGCAATCATGTGCCCGGAGTCCCAGCCCCCTCACCACGTACCTCGTGCTGTGTGACCAGCTTCAGCTCCCAGTTGAGCGCGTGCTGAATAATACGGACCAGCGAGAGCGAGTTTTGCGGGTAGCGCGCCTGAAACAAGGACGAACACTGTCAATGACAACTGATGGCTACAGGAGAGCTGGGCTCAGAGCTCAAAATGTAAAACAATATGAAGAGTTACAGCCCACAGTCCACCGGATGGGCCACGTTTATCGGACCATTGTAACTACAAGCGTATGATATCCAGCTAAAGTAAGCCTAGCCCAGCAACAAGTGGAAGAGGGATGCAGGTATCAGCAGAACCTAAATCATACATAGAGACGGGCATATAACATGGTCGGCAGCCCCGCCACTATTTTAGGTCCTTTTAGCAAAACAGGGACCGCACGCAGGAGGCTCGATATAGCAGTGGAACCAGCTACACAGACAAGCGACAACAAAATACACACACCTTCGTCACAAAGCCACAACGCACATATGTCCTCATGAAGCCACTACCACTGCATACTACCGGGCTACTACGAAACCTGGAAAACAGTCTAGACGGTAGTGTTTAAAGGTAGGTTAACACCCAGTCACCACGAGAGACATTGGCACTGACGACACCCACAAACGTCCCTAACAGATACATATTATGCAATCGATGGTAAACACGTGCTGCGGAGCTCCACACACGGCTGTGTCTGAGCCACATTAGCCAATAACTCCGGACGGACCGCGGAGCGAGGCGCCCAAATGGCACTGCAATCACGCGGATACACGTGGGATGCCGAGTTACTGGCCGCCAAATTGTGTTAGGCAAGTTAGCCCCGTTCCGTGAATGAGAATGCGAGCAAATGCGGCTGTCAATTTTCCAATCAATCCAATGAAAGGTCCTATTTTCCGGACAGCAGTGGTTTTCACAACGTGGGCTTATTTTTAGACAATGGTCAAAGAGGGAGAAAGTAGCAAATTCAGATAGAAACTTGGTGAGTGCTGCACCGCGGAATAATGAGCAGAATAATCCGACAGAGCTGTTACGGCAACCCATGCATCGCCAAAGATGATAATTAACCCTCGCCGGCACAGGGGGGGGGGGTTGATGCAACCCCCCCTAAGGTTTTTCGCGAATAACTCGCGTAAAAAGCGGCCGATCGCGACGAAACTTTCAGTACCCTCGTATTGATCAATTTTACACCTACCCTGAAAATTTCATGACCCTGACCCCAATGACCTTTGACCTCTTTTCCGAGACCATGTTTGGCCGAAATCGCGATTCGGCGTATGTCGGCTCGCATTAGCCGCGCGTTTGCAAGCTTTTCGTGGTTTCAAACGTTCAAACATATGATTTGATGTTACTCCCATACATTAGGGTGGGTGTCAAGGTCACCTGAAGGTCAGGTCAGGTCATTGACCTTTAGTGACCTCGGGTGACCTCGGTTCACTTTTTCGAGTTTTACATGTTTCTAGGCTAGTTTTTGGAGCTGAATTCGAATTTAGCAACCATTTGAACATTTACGAAGTATTTTTGGTGCTTCGTAACATGTTACGAAGCTGTCAGAGGCGGTTGACACGTATTACGAATACTCGTCACAACCCCTACCGGTTGACCTGACCCGACCTGGTCTAAATGCTTTAATACATCATCTCTGATCAAAACTAACACGATTTTCGTGATCAGCACCCCGGAAAACCCCATAGCAGCCACACTTTACGACTTTCTAACAGGTCCCGATTTTCCCGGTTTTCGGGTCATTGACCTGACCTGGAAGGTCACCCGATGACCTAGGACCTTAAAATTGGGTATCATCGGCTTCCTCTCGTGACGGGCAACACGCTGTTTTTTTCGCGAAGCTCTAGCTCGATCAGGGGCCAAACGCGAGGGGGGTCGTACCAACCCCCCCCCCCCCTGGTGCCGTCGAAGGACGCAAAATGGCCTGTGCCGGCGAGGGTTAAAAACTAACTGAACTACCGCAGTGAACTGCCAAAGCTTCCAGCATACCGCAGACCTTCCCCACATGGTATCGACGGCCGACCTACGATCTCGATCGTCCCAGGAATCGTGGCATCGGGCGCTGCCCTAATACGCAGCGCGCATGTCAATGGCCCTGACCTCTCCAATACGCCGCCAGGGGCCCAGTACGGCAGCCGGTCAGGAACAGGGCGCCATTCAGTCGGCGTCAGCGCCCCGGTCCCGGCCGACGGCTGACCGGACCCACTGACCCGACTACGACCACCAGATTCAGTTCAGAGCCGCCCGCAGCTGATGAACGATTATGAATTCATCCCGAACACTTCACATCCACAAACATGATGGGCATTGTTCAATCCCATTAACTTGAGCGTGACTTTTGCGACCTCACTGGATAAACATAGTAACGTAAACACAAAACCTTGGCGCCCCGCAGTTGCCAACGAAGTTCCCCGGCTCCATTCAGGGACCGATCCAGCCAGCCGCTGCCCCGGGCGGAGAGCCCCCGCTCCATTGATGGCCCGAGCTGGACCGCTCGCCGCCACACGCGGCCGGTCCTGTTCCGAGTAGGGCTGAGCCGGCCGAGACCGGGCGGGTCGGCGGCGGTACTTCCCCGGGGAGACGCCAGCCGGCGCGCCGCCGCCGGCACGGTCGGACGGCTGTCCAATAAGGCACCGCTGCCTCCGCCGGCGGAGCGGCCCCGGGGACCGAGACCGGGCGGCGTCACAGCCGCCAGCCACAGAGCAGCATACGGCACATACAGAGATGGACCGCCAGTGGGCAGCCACAGCACAGAGCAGCACACGGCACATACAGAGATGGACCGCCAGTGGTCAGCCACAGCACAGAGCAGCATACGGCACATACAGAGATGGACCGCCAGTGGTCAGCCACAGCACAGAGCAGCATACGGCACATACAGAGATGGACCGCCAGTGGTCAGCCACAGCACAGGGCACCGCACATACAGAGATGGACTGGGACCCGGGACAGGCGCAGAGCAGCAGGAGCCTCATACAGTAGTCAGAATTGAGATCAGCGGATATGGACGGAACTAAAGGGCAGCGTAGTAACTTTGAGGAGAGGAATATCGGGACACATACGACGTAACAGCCAGGGGTCGCACAGTGATGCAAATGGGGTTCACGAGTGGCCATAAATACCAAAAAGTCAAGTTTACCAAACCGAGTAAATCGCTATATGGCTAACCAAAGAAATGTTTGGCGCATCTGAATTCACATAGTTTTCATATTTTTGTCAAAACCGGCCTCGTGTATGATTGCCAGAAGTCGTGACATTTTCTATGTCGTAAAATGGCTGTCAGATACTCGCAACTTCAAACGCCGCTAGCGTGCGTTCATTTCATACAAATGACAAAAATTATACATGGCAATGATCCCTTAAGCCTGCTGCTTCTCATGCCGGGTCACAAAAAGCCGCATCTTTTTTGGTTTGGCGGTGATCTAATCATTTGTCATCATGTTGCAATCGCAGTTTTTTACTAAGAAATATTTGCTTTCGTTTCACCTACAGCAGTTTACACAGTGTGTGCCCGTTAGTGCACCATACCATATCATTCCCTAACCATTTCTGAGTCACACTGTGAAAGAATTAAGGCGCTAGCACAGGGCAGACCGGCACTATTGAAGTTTTGTCCGGCGCGGTTGGGTGTCGCGGTCGGGGCGGATTGCTTTCACCGCGGATCGCAATTTCGACAGACGTTTAGCTTTGAACTGCTATAAGTAGGTCAAATATTGACCTGAAGTCAAAAGTAATATGCTCACTCGCGAGATCTTGTCAAGAGCAATCCATTGGTTTTTGTCGCGAGGCGATAGGACACTTCGTTTAGGAACAGCAGAGGGATGCACCGAAGAACTCCCGCTGAGGCCGTCCGCCCGCGGCGCGGCCGCCCGGGCTGCCCACCGCGCCGCGGCACCCGACCGCAACGGACGAAAACTTTAGTAGCGCCGGTCAGCCCTGTGCTAGCGCCTTCATTCTTTCACAGTGCGGCTCAGAAATGATTAGGGAATGCTATGGTATTGTGCACTAACGGGCACACACTGTGTAAACTGCTCTAGGTGAAACGAAAGCAAATATTTTTAAATAAAAAACTGCGATTGCAACATGATGACAAATAGTTAGATCAACGCCAAACCAAAAGAGATACAGCTTTTTGTGACCCTGCATTAGAATCAGCAGACCTTGGGGATCATTGCCATGTATAATTTTTGTCATTTGTATGAAATGGACGCACGCTAGCGGCGTTTGAAGTTGCGAGTATCTGACAGTCATTTTACGACATAGAAAATGTCACGACTTCTGACAATCATACACGAGGCCGGTTTTGACAAAAACATGAAAGTCATGTTTTTCAGACACCCCAAACATTTGCCTGACTGGCCATATTACGATTTATTCAATTAGGTGAACTTGAAATTTGGGCCTTTTCGGTATTTATGGCCACTCGTGAGCCCCATTTGCATGCCCCATTTGCATCACTGTGGGTCGGCAGCAGGGGAAGAGGATGGTTGGTACCGGTACCGACAGGCAGGCCGACATGGGACAATGGAAAATTCAACAGAGATTCGACAACAATTCAACAGAGTCCTTCAAAGAGTCACGAGACATTGTTATTCGTGAGTGAATGGATACGTCAATACGTCATGAATTACATATTTTTAAACAAGCGAGACTAGTGTAAATTCATGCAAGCTCAATTAACTTCCCACTAGATCCGGCGCACCCCTCGTCGTGGCCCACCTTGAACATGTTGGCGCAGTCTGTGAGTTTCAGTTTGACGACGAACAGCTCGTCGGTGCTGGGCAGCGAGGTGGCCTTGTTCTCCAGCTCGGCGATCAGCGCCATCACTAACTGGCTAGCGTACTGCTCGTGGGTCGGATCGTCCGGGTTAATCTCCTGGAACTGACTGCGGAGACACGGCGGGAGGGCGGCCGCGGTCACAGGACGGCACACGACAGCGGCGCACAGGCCAAGGGACGATACTCGGCGACCGGGCGGGTCGAGGTCACAGAACGGCAGCGGCACAGGTCACGGAGATCACAGTGAAGCCACCTATCATTATGGGGGGTTGGAGGACAAAGTGGTGGCGGTGAGAGGTCACAGTAGGGCTGAGAGGTCATGGAGGGGTCAGAGCCAGGTTGGAGTAGGTAACAATGAGAGGTCACGATAGTGGGGAGGAGAGGGTCAGGCTTACCGAGGTAGCGGCAACACCAGCGACCGGTAATAATGCAGTAGCAAACGATCAAACAAAGGAATCATCAGCAAAGCTCATTTCAAGAAATGGGCAATGCATAAGTTGCAAATCGATAGGAGCCAGTAAAATGGAGATAAGGTGACGGGTATATCTTTGGGAGGAGCGAGCTGGTTATATGACTTTCGATTATGGATCCCAGATAAGATTGTCAAATCGCTGAAGGATATGGCACGGGGACGGCCACACCAAACGGTCCGGCGCGCCCGGCAACAGGCGCTGGTCGGGCGCCCAGCCCTTATCAGATGGAGCTTGATATCCGGCTCACATGGGACAGGCCCGATTCTCCTCTGGTGATCACATTACAGACGTATTTGGCGCCTGGTATACAGTCCGGAGGCTGATCTATTCGATTTGCACCCAGCATTATGTAATGTGAACAAAACTTGCAATTGGAACCAGGGGCATGCATCATTTCCAACCTAGCCTGTGTTCCACGGGACGAATTACATAATGGAAGCAAATGCAATGATGTAGATGACTTCTCGCGAACATCATTTCACACTGCAGTTATATACATGGATACATAACTCAGAATAGCAGCCTGATTCGCGCCATAATTGCAACGCCGAGTTAACCCTCGCCGGCCGAGGGTGGGGGGGGGGGGGGGGGGTGGGGTGCCCCATAGGGTTTTTTCGCGATAGCTCCGAACACGCTGGCGATAGAGAGCTGAAACTTGGCATACCTGACCTTTGATCCAAGCCGCATCTTTTGACACCAACCGCATTTTTGGGTCAGGTCAGGTCACTGACCTATGACGTCATAAGTGAACCTCTGCACGGTCTTCAGATGTCGCAACTTCGCAACGCCCTCACTGCCAGAGGAGAGTCACAGGGAAATGAAACTTGCAGGATCTAGTATCCATTATGAGTCTCACAACTTGTATATCTCGGATTTTTCCTAAAGGTCATATGAGGTCAGGTCATTTTCGTGACCTCACCATTATACCTAAGTCAATGGGGAAAAATGAAAACTGCTATTCTGGCGCCGGGAACGATCTCCAACTATCTCAAGCACACAGAATCGTGATTTGATGCACTCCTTGCAAGGTTAGATGCGTCACTTTTGCAATGTTGACCTTCCGTGACGTCATTTATGACGTCATCAAGGTCATATTAGTTTTTCGTCAATAACTCCCGACCAAATTGAGCTAGCGAGTCGAGAAAGCCACCAATGGACTCGGGAAGACCTGCCGAATCGAATGATATGCGACATGACCTCTTTCGACCAGCTTCGTGACCTGGGGGTGCTGACCTGACCTTGACCTGAGGTCAACACCCTAAGTTGACCTGACCCGAACAAAAAGTATATCATTCGACGCGCCTGAGCGAGGCGAACACGATGCTGCCAAAATCGCGGCTCTGCGGCCGTTTTTTTTTTGCGAAGTTATTCACCAAAAACTGAGCCGTATCCTGGGGCACTTGACCTGACCTCAGAGGTCACCGGTTGACCTAGGACCTTAAAATCGGGTACCAATCTCTGCGTCTCGTAACGGCGCACACGCTTGTTTTTTCCGCGACGCGCTAGCTCCACCAGGGGCGAAACGGCGAGGGGGGGGGGGGGTCGTACCCCTCCCCTCGGCCGACGCGTATGTGGAAAACCAATAGGTCCGGCGAGGGTTAAGAAATACCAGAAGCTGAACGAGCACAGAATAAATACAATTATTTCCAATAACTAGAAATCAAAGGAAAATGAGCATCAACATAACAAATTGAAGGCATCAGCTTTATTTCTTGAGCATATTTTGAATTGGTAAAAAGATTTAAATGCCTATATTGTTCTCTGAGTCTGGAGAGCTACCATTATAATTAATGCATCCCCCTCCACCATTCTCGATTAGCGTGCCCGTGTTTATCAATCAGTAGTGCTGCGCCCCGGCCCGGCGCGAGGTCTGATGGGCGGCCACCTGCTACCGACGTGGGTCGCCGGGAAACCAACCAATTGGACGGCTGTGACTCACATCAAGGAGAGCGCTGCTTTGATCCTCCACATTCCAGCTGCACATAGCGCGGCTGGGCGGCGAGCCGGGCAGCGGGATGGACCCACTGCGGGCCTCGGGCCGCCGCTGGAACGGCCGCTAATGGCCGCACGCTCAGCCGCTGTCATACGGCTGTCGAGCACGGTATAACTCCTCGGCATGCCGCGCTGCCGCGCCGTACAAACGCATGCTGCGCCAGCCGCCATAAAAGCCGCCGCGTGAGTGTGCCCCAAATGAATGGCCGACATAAATCAATGCGGGATTAAAACCGCATGGGTCACTGTCCTCACCCCACCCTAACGAGACCAGGCACCCCGGCAACCAGCCCTCCACCGCTCCCGGTTAGTTGTGCTACACCACAATGTCAAACTGAGCGCGGCGGCGCAGCGCTGTCGGCCGCCTCAGTTTCTAATCTGCCGCCGCTTCCGGGACGGAATGGACGTTTTAGAGCGGCGCGCAGCCCGCTGACGGGCGAGCTGATGGTACTCAGCGTTCATACGGCCGCCATTCGGTATAATCGTGACGCCCAGACGGCCATGGGGCGGTTACGTCACCGGCCTCCACCCACCGCAGCGGGCCCTCGGACAAACACAACACTCGGCTGGCCGGCGCAGCGGCCCGGTCCGCCATCCCGCACATGCACGAGTATGATACCCAGTCCACCTGTTAGCTACTGATGTGGAGGCGCTCCTCGGCGCGCACCATTCACCCGACCGCTGACATTTCCACAGCCTACCGGGAACGACGGACGCGGCCCACGCCGGTCCGGCGGCTCCCTGCCACTTCGGCGCTGCACCACCAACACCGGCCGGTGGCCACGCTCGGTACTCACCACATCTTGGACTCGATCCAGGGCGCCAGGCAGTGGCGCACCTCGATCGGGAAATGTTCGCCGTAGATTTTCCTCAGGGAGGCCTCCGGCAGCTGCTGCACCTTGTGCCAGAGCGCCATCTCGCTGGTCTGTGGCCGGGACCGAGTGTCGCCGAGCTGCCTGTGGACGCAGGCGACGAAGTCAGGTCAGCCGTCAGGCCAATGCTCCGGGATCGGGACCACATGGGCCCAGACACGAAACACCGTCGCACGGGCGTGATTCGCGGCATTTACGAGTGCCGTTACGGGCAACATAAAGTCAGCCGAGCCTGCCTGCAGCGCTCACAATATAACACGCTGCATGTAGGTAGGACAGGTGCGGTAAAAAATTATACTGTTACCGCTGGTAATTATGGGACGTAATGCTACGGACCGACGCGGCATTATCAAGCGCCGGGCGGCGCGCCGAAGGTCGGCTTTAATTTTGTGAAAAGTTAGCAGCGGACAAAAAAGGAAAACTGTTTGGAAAGACAGAGCAGTTCTGACTCAGCTCTGGTTTGGAGTTAGACAATAACTCAGAGATAAGACCCAGATTTGGGTAAGAGGATAAGTCTTCAGCTCTTGCCGCAGTAAGGAACGTGCTTAGCAGCACTTCTAGACGGCTGGAATGGCTCAGACCGCAGCTCAGACTGTTCGGATAATGCAAAATCTGAGTTGCACTACTTAAAAATGCAAGCATATCTGGTAATCACGAAGGCAGAATCACCATAAAACTAAGATTAATTTTCGAAATGAAGTTATCCAAAATACAATATATTTCTCACTTATATAACCTGAAGCACGGACCGCCTCCTTTGACAACTCAGTCCTAACACAGGGATGATGATTGCCGGACGAAACAGACCGAGTCCGCCAGACGCAGACACCCAGTCTATTGGAAACGATCCGTTATTGTGAGCGCGCCCTTTATCTCTCTCCACAGGTCGGCAAAGCGTCGCCGGAGCTGATACATTATAAGATTATTTTACAGCGATATGCAATCTCCACGACATGTTGCATGCATCAAAATTCCAGCCACGCAGGGCCCGAGTTTTACAGCAGACTCTCATTGCCGTGACCAAACTAGCAGCTGGAGCGCCCGACCGGTCCGGGGCCTGTCAGACAGAGCTCTGATGTCCGATACTGGGGCTGTGTGTAAGCTGACACAGCGGTAGGGCCCGGTTATATTCCCAATAAATGAGACACAGCCCCGAGGCGGACCGCACAGTGGAGCGGACAGGGGTATGGCCGAGTCAGTACCAGTCCTGCGACACCGCCCGCCTGATGAGACCACAGACAAACTCAGACAAAGCCCGCCAAACACAAGCTCAGCTTTAAAATACCGAACCGAGTCGATTGGAGCGTGTCAATAAAGCGATAATGGCCGAGGTATTCTAGCGGTTGGATAAACTAACAACAGTACGGGTGTACTCTTGCAAAAAAATAATTGACAGTCTCAAATGACGGCATCTCAGACATGTCTTCTCCGAAAAACCAGCAGACCAACTGAGCTTCTGCCGCTACTCGATGATCCTCTATCCGAGTCCAGTTTTTATTTATTGCAGCGTTGTACCCAGACAGCAATGCCACCATCACATAACACGGATCGAAAGGGACGCGTAAGGCGTGATCATTAACCCGCGCTCCAATGGGGTCTGCGTATAACACGCCCTACTGGGGGGGGGGGGGGCTCTTCATAGCCCCCCCCCTCCTAACTCCGAAAATACTGGGCCGATCGTCAAAAATCAAACGGCGTCTGATAGCCCCGGAAAAACTGTTGAACGAAACCTAATTTCATTGACCTCGAGGTCGACGATGACGTCACAGGTCAGGCCAAAGTAAAAATTATTAGCATTTTGTCTTGTTCACATTTTGGGCTCTGGCCGCCGTCTTACAAGTCAGATCAGGCTCATGTTTGGTTTACACACTCGTGAAGAGAGGCTTTAGATACCCTGAGGGTACCAAACTTGTACTTTGATTTTCAGGTCAGGGTCAGGTCATCCTAGGTCACAGAAATATTATGTCATGCGTCAGTCACGTGACACATGTTTTATGGTTCATTTAGGCCATAGATTTCGAATTTGATGTCGTTTGTGACATTCGAGGTCATTTTGAGCTGAATTTAGCTTAGGTCAGGTCACTTTCAGGTCAAAAAAGGTCAAATTTTGAAGTTGAAATTTTTCAACAAAAAAGGTGTCTATCGGATGCAGTTTGAGCTCAGGAACACGATGGTGCTATTCTTATTGGTGTACGATGTCAAAAACGTACTGAAAAATTGATTTGAAAAATTCATGATTATGAATTTTTTGCAATAATGCGTATAACTTGGCCATTTTTGAAGATATTTAGATAAAACTTACTAGAGTAAGTCATAAGCATGTGTTCTATGACATATATTCCGTTTTTTTTCGAAAAGTCGAAGTTTTTGAAAAAATATAAAATATGAGTTTTGAATTTTATGATATATAATTTTCAAAAATTTCAAAATTTTGAAAATCCGAGATAGCAGTTTGATAGCGCAGTCTATTCTAAGTCCTACCATGCAATGAAATTGGAGCTAGCTTAAAAACTAAGCTCTTGGGAGCGATTGCCGTGGTTCAATGCTTTGCGTCCAAATCGGCCGAACATGACGTCACTCTGACGTCATTTCCGGCCGACCTATGGTAGCTACAAAGTTCATATTTTGACACAAGGTGTCAAATTGATGTAGCCGAAGGTAGTGAAAGTTTGGCGTCGATACGTCAAGCGGTTTGGAAGTTATTGCAGAAAAACGGGAGGGGGGCTATGAATAGCCCCCCCCCCCAGTGGGGCGCGGGTTAAGAAGACAAATATTTGTCAGTTACGATGAACAATTCAACCTATCCAAAAACAGGTTTTTGAAAACAGCAGGTCAACTGATAAAACATACAACAAATCGCCCATATAACAATTCACTGAACAGGAGTAACTGCATATTGCCACACACTAGCCGCAGACAGGAACTGGTCTGCCCCCTGACAGTGGCAGCCAGCCTGCTCTGTCCGCTCGCCCGGGCTGCAGTCATCTGAGGCGAGTTTCCAATACAGATCGACTGGCCAGGATAGCTGCAGCCATCTGACACGAGCTCCCAATACACAGATCGACTGGCCAGGGTGGCTGCAGTCGCCGGGTCCACCAGACCATCGCTTGCGGTAGGCCGCTGCAGTCGGCTGAGCCATCAATGGGTGCCGTCCGACCACGACCGCGCGCTGAGCCTAACGACCAATTAGAGCGGAGAGGTGTCCGACGGGAGCACCGTCGCGGGTCCCCGCGGCCCACGGCCAGGAATAGTCTGCGGCGGCATCCCATAACCATCGAAACAGAAGAGGCAGGTGACAACGGGCGCACTGTCGACCCGCACACCCCCTACCAGTGCTGTGACGGCGTCCCATACACAGCACAGCTTCCGGTCAGATACGGAGGATGACGGCATCCCATGCACACCGCCGAGTCTCCGGCCAGGTATCGGGTCTGGGACGGCGTCCCATGCACACCGCCGAGTCTCTGACCAAGTGTGAAGTCTGTGGCGGCATCCCACACACACATCGCAGCCTCCGGCCAGGTATGGAGTCTGTGACGGCGTCCCATACACACCGCCGAGTTTGTGACGGCGTCCCATTCACACCGCGGCCTCCTACCAGGCATGGAGTCTGTGACGGTATCCCACACACAGCACGGTCTCCGGCCAGGCATGTGTGCAATGTCAGACATTCTTAAGGTTCTCAGTGAGCTCTTATAACTGATCTAGGCAGATTACGACTATATAAATGGTATTAGAGGTCCCACACAGTCTATACACGTAAGCCCAACTCATTGTTTTGGCTTGGTCAAAATGCTGCAATTAACTGCGGTCATTTGAACTGTACCTTTGGGTCAGATCAAAATATACATCTGTTTTTTTAAGATAATGATACAGAAAAAGAATAAAAACATGTGTGATGAAAAAGTGAAACAATGATATCTTTTAACCCGCGCCCCAGTGGCGGTCTCTGAGACCGCCACTGGGGTCTCTCTAAGTTGAAGTTGACTGAGACCGCCAGTCAACCTTCAACTTAGTTTTTGAGTGAGACCTCTAACTCAAAAACTAAGAGAGCTAGAAAGACGCGGTAAAAAGCAGTCGATAGCTCTCAATGCGTACGTTTGGAAGTATTTCGGTCATTTTTCATCTTTGAGCAATATTGGGGTCACTGGAGGTCATCAAAGGTCAAAATTTGTCAAATGTCATTATATTTTTCAGAAAACATGCATTTATCTCAGGAACTATGATAGCTAGAAAACGCATGGAAAAGCAATCGATAGCTTTTGAAGTTTGAACTCTTCTCTTGATAAGGTCATCATCAAAATTGACCTCAGGTCAACGGTTTAGCCTCTAGAGGGCAAAAAGTCCAAAAATAGCTGTTTTTACGAAAAGTGTTTTTCGACCATAACTTTTGACTAAAAAAGAAAGCCATGACATTTCTATTGCCAGAAGCGTGTTTCTCTCGACGAGACGCATCGAATGAACTATAAGTTGACCTTGAAAGGTCAACTTGAAAATTTGACCTCAGGTCAAGGTCATGACCTGACCGGAAAAGCATATCATTCAATGCGTCTCAACAAGACAAACACAATGAGGCCATCCCCAGCGTCCTATCTCTTTCCAATCGAGAGTTATTGGCAAAAATATGTTTGTAGCCTCAAATGACCTCGGATGACCTTTCTAGAGGCTATTAGCAAAAAAAAAAGACACCTTGGTGGTCACGGGTGGTCCAAATCATTGTGATTCTGAAATATTTGGACTGTTCCTATGCGTACAAACGGATCTAGAGGTATTTTCAATTTTCTCCATTGACTTATAATGGTAAGGTCACGCCACTGGCCTGACCTTAGGTCACGGATATAAAAAATCCGAGATATACAAATTATAGGCCCCATAACATCATGCAATCCACCAAGTTTAAAACCTTTCTGACAAACACTGCAGGCTGGACATGATTGCAAACTTTTTAAGGCTTGGTCAGTTAACTTGACCTGGTGACCTGACCTGAGATGACCTAGTTGGGGTAAAAAATTTCACACATTGTCCAAAATTGATTAACAAAAAGCTACTCCAAGCGGCGCGGCGCTACGCGCCGCGGTTTTTAATTCACACGCAAAAAAAAAACGCGACGGGGTGGTAACAATATGCCCCCTCCCCCCCCCCCCCACTGGGGCGAAGGTTAAGGTTGGCAATTGGCAAGCTCAGTGTTTCCATTTGAAGGTCGTATGAGTACCTAATGAGTATGCGGACCTTACAGAAAAAAAAAACAAAAAGTTGAGTTAGATTTGGTGATCAAAGTTTTCTGTGTAACTCTTTCACCTAATCAAAGCCATATCTGCCGTGCAAAGATAAACAAACATATGTAGTCTGGGCAAAAAAATGGCATACATGATTATTCCTTTGCACAACAGATATTGTTATGAAACCACATTTTGAGATTATCATCCAAGCAAATGGATCTCTATGGCATATTCAAAATATTTACAGCTCATCTTCGAAGCTGAAGCACAATGTTCACTGAATTCAGGAGAGTTGTATGTGGTATAATGTTGTGGTATAATGTTTCTTTGAGCATGATGAATATCAATAAAAATGTTAGGATTGACCTTATGTTCATATTATTAGAGAAATTAATCGAAAGAAAGTCCATTGGACTTCCATTGGACATCAAGTTTATTGGACTTTCTTTCGATTAATTTCATTAATAACATGAGCGTGAGGTCAATCCTAACATTTTATTGACTTCCGAAGTCAGCTAGTACAGTTTAAATGCTCAAGTAGAAAGGTAGGTACCTACCTATGCTCATCTGTCAAGCCCATATAATTTCATCTATGGTTTATTTTATCCCTAATATTGATGGAATGGGAAAGAGTACCTACAGCTAAAAGGCATCTGAGTTTGAATATACAGGATGTTCACGAAAAACTGACACATTTTAAAACGACTTTGTGAGCATGTGAGAGCTCACGGAGACTTGACTTGCATGCCATTCGAAAGCCTGTTGAAAAAAGTTTTGTATCTGCATAGCTCCTTTAGTTAGCATCACATGAGCTTCCAAATAAATAAGAAAGCGTTAAAATGGGGAAATTTGACTTGGCGACAAAACTTAACGGAAAAACAATGAAGCTCTCGCGGCTGCCATCTGCCACCACGACTGAACCAGTCTACGAATTCGTCTAAAATTTGACATATTAATGTTTCGATGGATTATATTTTATACTATTGGCATATTGTGGGCAAATTCCTAAGGAATGCCAAAATTGGCAGGCTTGGAAGTGCTGATGTCAGAAACCATGGCCGCATGCTGGTAGTCACTGTAGAGTGGTACCGTGCCATCTTTTAACAGCTTCTGTTAGCTACTGTAGCGGAAATGGGTCGACGTCTACACCATTTGGTGGTTCTGGCACGTCAGGGCCACCCTACGTACAGTAACGGCGATCATCGGTCTCACACGAGAACAGGGGGGAGGGGGCACTTGTCTCGCGCATCACCTCTCACCCATAGCCGGCCATTTCGCTCTACCTCAACTCCGTGGACTATTCCTGTGGGGTCACGTGAGTGACATGATCTGTAGCAGCGGCCCAAAGGACATCAAACCTCCCGACGAGTGCAGTGAGAGGTGTTGCAATTCTCCAGGCACGTGCCCAAAAACGGGGAATAATTTCCTGTTTCGGGCTGAGTCGTGCACACTGAACTCTAATCTATACTGGAAGGAGCATTGGTGACTTGTTTTTGTCTATCGATTTCCGCCATGTTGTTGTAGTAAACAAATGCGCAGAAATGTCTATTCCCAAGCTCCGCGGGGACCGAGCCGCCACACGCCTCCCACTCCGGCCGACTGGCCCCCGGCTCGCCGGCGCCGTGCTCCCCGGCCAGCGGCCCTGAACTCGAGCCGGTCAGCTCTAGTTGCCGGCGCCGGCCGACAGCCACAGCTGTGGGCCACGGCCTGTGCCAGTTCTATCATACACATGCATAACATATAGCATACAATACTAACTACAGCCCCTCCTGATCCTCAAGGATCACTAACGCTAGTATCTGTATGGGGCGTACCCAGTTCTTCATACTGAAGGCGATCAGGTGGCCGCCGCGAGCGGTCACTGCGTCGGACCTCACTCTCACTCACCGTCTCTTCCTCTACCCCCACATCAGGTGATGAACCCTCTCCCCCATCGGCTGACAGTGGCAAATTGACATATTCCACCACGTCATCGGGCGACGAGCCAGGCGAAGTTGCCTCAGACACATCAGGACAGGTACGCAAAACATCACCACATGACCGGAGGTCCCTGACATGCCACGGTACCCCGTCGACTTCCACCACCTGTGGTGATACCGTGGCGGTGACAGTACCGCGTCCAGACTGTTCCGTGCACCGTGACCCGGGCTTCCTGACCCACACGGCGTCCCCAACTCGGTACGACGCGGGCTCGCGTGATAGATCGTCTCGGTCCTCCTCACCGGTTCCACCAGGTGGGCGCACTCGGTCACCAGGTGGGCGCACTCGGTCACGCACGGGGTACACATACACTGCGCTCGCAGGTGATGATGACGCCGATACACCATCGCGAGGCGTCACATTATATAAATGAACGGCCTCAGACACGGAGCACTGTTTACGAGCAGCGATGACCTTCACCGAACGGTGGTTTCGCTCCACGATAGAGTTTCCACTCGGTCGGTGAACGGCCCTGAATCGGAGCTGTACGCCCCATCCTGCCGCGAACACAGAGAACTCTCTGCTGCGGAACGCGGTGTCATTGTCTGCCAGAAGTTCGACTGGGGCACCGCGCTCACAAAATATCTCCTCCAGCTGCTCCGTCACACTGGCTGAGTCCGTTCGGCGCAGTGGGCGCCACACACAAAACCGCGACGGACCGCAGTCAATGATTGACAAGTACGACCGGTTTCGGTAGTGCGTAATGTCTATGGCGAGTCTGGTCCAGGTTTCCTTCACCCCCAGTTCCCCGCCACGCCACTTGACGGGTGCCGGGTCCACTGACCGACACACGTCACAGTCTGACACCACCTTTTGCACCTGGCTCCGCGTGATACTCGGCGATATGTCACGACGGGCAAAGTACAGAGTTCGCCGAATACCGGGGTGTCCAGCTTTGGCATGAACCTCGCTGATGGCCGACGACTCGCGCGTGCCGACAGTGTCCTCCACAACACCCGCATCAGCCCCGTGAGCGTCATCTTCTCCCGCATCAGTCACTGGCCCGACCACCGCAGCGGCGACTGCGGGATCGCCTACACTCGGGTCGTCTCCGCGTACCCACTCGACCGGCACCCGCGTCAGGCAGTCCGCTCTGTTGTGGGCGGTCGGCACCAGGGTCACTGACAGGTCGATGCCGAACTCGTCCACCAGCTGCTTCACCATGTCGATGCGCCGCCTGATGATCATCTCACCGTGGGCCTTGGTCTTCAGACGGGAGCGCCCGCTCAGAGCGTCGCTTATCCATCTGTGCACGGTAGCAGAGTCAGTCCTGAGGTCCAGTCGACGCATTTCCCAGGCGATGGCGAGATTGATGCCCCGCACGGCGGCGTCCAGCTCCGCCATGTTGATGTGCGCTGTCTCGTCACGGCGGAGCCAGCAGCCGTCCTCGATTGGGTCTCCAGTCGGCGTCTCCAGCACCACTCCGGCCGCTATCGAGCTGGCATCCGTCCACACCACCGCGTGATTGCCTTCAACATGCCACCGTCCGTGAGCCGGGTCGTCGCGGGCCAGCCTACTGGCCACATAGTCAATCTGCTGACGCAGGGTGGCATCGTCTGTTGGCTGGTCCCAACTGTTCGTCACCGCGTTAGCCCGCCGCTGTAACCAGGCGGCGGCGGGCCGAAGCCAGCCGCACACGGGCAGGTGTGCCACCAGGCGACCACACCAGGCGAAGACGCTCCGCCGCGTCAGCGTGACAGGTGGTGGCCCTACGACGTTGTCACGCGCCCAGCGCAGCACTCCACCCACCGCCCGCACGTGCAAACCAAGCAGGCGTGCACCGGCAGCCGCTCGCTCCGGCGGCTTGCACTCTAGCCCGAACTGAGCGAAGTGGGCCACCACACGTTCAGCGCTGACGAGGTCCTCATTCACACACAAGTCGTCCATGTACGGCAGCACCGCACTCTCCATCGCCGGGTCCTGCTGTAGCACGGCGCGCACTACAGCCTTCATGATAAGTGGGGCCACATTCAAACCAAATCCGACCCTAGAGAGTGCATACCGCTGACCGTTCACCATCACAGTCTGGAACGGCCACAGGCTCTGCTCCGTCCTCAGCTGAAGATATGCTCTCTTCAGGTCGACGATAGCGACATTGGTGCCGTGCCGCCGCCATTTCCTGAGGGTGGCGGCACACACGTCCGCGTCGGCGGTGTAGGGCACCACATGACTGTTGAGCTCTCGATAATCCAAGACGGGTCGCACTTTGGTCTTGTTTTTCTGCTGAACAGCCATGAGCGGGATCAGTCCTCGCGGTGGTCCGTACAAATCCTCATCATACGGCACCAACCATTCGTTTTCAATCCAGGACTGAAGTTCAGCGTCGAACTCTTCCTTAGCGTCCTCCGGTACGGAATACTCCGCTACACCGTTGCCGAGGCACTCTGGTGCCGCACCGTCACGCCATTTCCAGGCTACAGTCCACGCTCGAGCCACAGGATCGAACTGAGCCCCGAAATCCGACGCCTCCACAGTCAGCTGGTCACACAGCCGACTCACCGCACCACAAAACCTCACCTCTCGCTGCGACCCAATCAGCACACCACCTAGCGCTGATATTCCACTGACACCAATCACCATCTCCGCGCCAAGCGGCTTCTCTCTCGTCACCAGTACGTCGACCACCGCGGCCTGACCCGAGGCCGTTTCCACAGCCACCTTTCCAACTCCGTCACAGTAGAAAGGATCCCCACTCATCGATGTTACCCGGACTCTCTCTTTCCGCCAGTCGCTGCAGTACGGTGCGAACACCAGGTTCTCCGTACAGCCGCTGTCCACTATCGCCCTGCATTCCCTGCCTGCCACTCGCAGCTGCGCCATCGGCAGAACCTCTGCTACTGCCGCCCTGGAGAGGACGCCGGCGCTGATGCGGCCTCTCCCGCGCTGTTTCCCGGCTGCTGACGCTGAGGGCAGCCAACGGCGATGTGGCCGATCGCTCGGCAGATCCAGCATCGGCGTGGTCCACGCACCGCCGTTGACGGCTGCACGTCAGCCGACCGATCTTCACGCCGCCCCGGCCCAGGCGCCACCGGCCGCCGGCTCCTTTCCTCTGCCGCCCAGCTCCACCCCTCTGTCCGAGGAGCTCGCGCCGCCGCTGCCAGCGGACCAGCCGCCGCCGCCGCCGCCACCTGAGCTGCTGCCACCGGAGCCGCCGCCGGCCGTTGGTCGCTCAGCACTGAGCGGGCCCGAGCGAGTACATCCTCCAGGCTGAGGCCCTCAGCCCTGGATCCAGCGCGGATAGCTTGTCTGGTGCTGTCGGGTAGTCCAGAGACAAATGCGCAGATGAGCGCCTTGTCTGGCACACCCCCGAAAAGCACCGCTAGCCGCCGTAGATCAGAGAGGAACACATCCGGTGATTCGCCGGTCCGCAGGCGTCGGCAGCAGAAGGCGTCATACGCAGCGAAGCTGTCCATGGCGAACGCCGCATACAGCGTCTCTTGCACTTCCACCAGCGAGCCGCGGCTGGCTGCCGGCATCTGTGACCATACGGTGAATGCCCCGCCTGCCAGCCGCAGCGGTACCACAGACATGAGCGAGACACCACGCAGTTCACAGAGGAGCCTCGCACGCTCCCACCACTCCACCACGTCAGTCGTGCCGTCATATTCAGGCACCAATCGAGTGTCAAACGGTTGGTTCGGTAGCCCTGCGCTGCTGGTCACTGGCACAGACACTGTCCCTGGTCCATTGTCCGGGCCGCTCCTCTCCGCGTTATCACCCGTCACTGACATGGTCACGCGTCTTAAAGGTCAAAGCCGAAATAGCTTGTAGTAAACAAATGCGCAGAAATGTCTATTCCCAAGCTCCGCGGGGACCGAGCCGCCACACGCCTCCCACTCCGGCCGACTGGCCCCCGGCTCGCCGGCGCCGTGCTCCCCGGCCAGCGGCCCTGAACTCGAGCCGGTCAGCTCTAGTTGCCGGCGCCGGCCGACAGCCACAGCTGTGGGCCACGGCCTGTGCCAGTTCTATCATACACATGCATAACATATAGCATACAATACTAACTACAGTTGTGTATACCAGAAATATAAATTGCATGTACGGTAGGAGAGGTGCAGTTTAGTGAGAGGTACACTACTCAAAAGTGCTGCTGCTTCATGCTTGAAGTTTGATTGCAGTGATCAACTTTTCAAGACTTTGGTATACACAACATGGCGGAAATCGTTAGACATTCTGGCCCATATACGGCCAAGGCGAGTGCCTCCCCCTGGTCGTGCACTGCTCCAAAAACTCGTCATCTGCAAAATACGCTGTAACTTCTTAGAAACGAAAATGACATGATCCCAAAATACGTCAATACAAACTTAGAAGTCCACTCTATTTGCCCATAGCATGATCACCGTTCTGAGGGCAAGTGTTTTCTCGTAATTCGGAAATAAAATGTGTCAGTTTTTCGTGAACATCCCTGTAAAATGACTCCTGAAAACAGTACTAAGGTCACCAAGATGGATCATCATGCCTACAATGATATTAGATAAAAATTGTCACCAGTGCTGTCATAATGGTTGTCACAGAAAATCTTAAATCATCCACTAGAAGAAACACTGTCCTGTTGAACTGAGTACATAGCATACAAGGCTGTTACCATTCCTGATTCAGAAGAAAACTGTCATCAATTACACACTTTACAAAGCAGATCCTATAAAAATACCTACCGTAAAACGGGGCTATAAGGGACAGGTTTTGACTTTGACAACCTGTCATTCAAAGGTTATTGCTTACACAGGCTTCAAACTTTGCCACTTTTCAGGTCTTGACTAGGTCAGTCTTTTGGCATAATATGCATTTTATTGGTATCATAGATGTATGATTTTTTTATTATTTTTGTTGCTTGTCCCTTATAGCCCCGCACCGGGGTTTTAAGGGACGAGCACTGTTATGGCCTTTTAAACTCTAGTAGCACCATCAAATGGGCTTTAAGGGACACAGACTATGTTTTTAAAAATGTTTACTGCTTTCCTGTGCAAAATATTTGTTTTTTTAAGTGCACATACAATGGATTGGCATCCATCAAAGTTTCCAATGGAGGACGGAAAAGGTAACTTCCTTTTTCAACATAAATACCATAAAGGAAACTCAAATATGGAAACATAATAATGTGTTATTATCAAAACACAAATGATATGAGTACAACCACTTGATAATGAGGCATTCTCCTGCCATTCTGAACTCCAGAACACCATCCACCAGAAGACTGCAGAGAGTCTCTGGCAGCTCCTTGGAGCTGGAGGTGTTTGATATCAGCTCACTCATTGTATTCCTTGACCTCTTTGATTTCCATGATTCCCCTGGTGAGGTATTTGGGTTCTTGGATCTTTTGCACAATGTCTGAGAAGGGGTACACCACAGGACATCCTCTGTCCTCTCCAAGGAATGTTGGATGGCCCGGTTTTCAGGTAGCAGGTGCCTTATTGTGCCTACATGACACTTTTTGGGATCCCAAACTTCTGCTCAGCTACCCTGAAAGGCATCCCTCTGTTCACTGCATCCACAGCTTTCATGATTACATCTTTCGAATATGTTTTCCTTGTTTTAACTCCTCGCTTTGACTGGTAATGACGGTGTCCCTTAAAGCCCCGTTTTGACATCAAAATCTACCTGAAACAGAAAAAAGCGGAAATGAGGATGAGACAAGGAGGGTACATGGATGTAATTTCATGGGCATCTTCAGGATACATGTGGTCATTGACTATACCTTTGTGAAGGTCCCAGAGTCCGTGGTTGTGTTTCCACAAGCAAAGTTTTCGGGGTTACAATTTTGTTGCGAATTTGGCACTTTTTTCAAAAGCTCATAGCATGAGAACAACAACAAGCATCTTGGAAATGGTGATGTGGCATGCATGTCCAGACATCAGTGTTTCATATTGTATATCTATTTCCTTTTGTTTCTCGTTCACTGTATTACCCAGATCCCTCAAAACTTTTTCCCGAAATTTGTCCCCTATAACCCCACTGTCCCTTATAGCCCCGTTTTACGGTATAATATTCTGAGGTAAAAAATGACTTAAAGGGACCCTCCCACCTTCAAAATAGTTTATGAATTGGCATGAAAGTGATGTCGCTCGGTTCAGAAAGAGCGAAAACGAATATCTACCAAATTTCACCGAAAAATATTCACCGGTTTTCAAGATATTAGACTTTTACTTTTGTTTACTTTTTTGGGATCTCCGCTGTTTCTAGCGACTTTATTTTAGAAGTGCGGCGTTTGCGGCAGATGTTGCGCGCAAATAGCATATACCACCGCGTGCTACAAGACGTTTTAGTCAAACATTTAAAAATCGTTAGATATTTGCGCTGACGTCACACATTCAGAGGGGTATTCCTAAACATTAGCCCCTCTGAATCAAAATGCTGCAATTTTGAAATTCAATATTTCCGATTTAAGGCATTTCTCGATGTTGTGAGTGCCGAAACCAGTAATTGTGAGCCAGGGACCCCATTTTGGCTATCTCAACTCAAATCTAATGTTAAGGTGGGAGGGTCCCTTTAATACCACCAAATACATCAATGTAAGTCAAGAATAGGTGAATGACTCTATTTCTTAGCACTACCAAATACACACTACTAAAGCACATGATCTATGTACACATTGTCCATGCTCTTCAGTACATAACGGCACTGTAGCATTCTGAAAGCACAACTCAAACTTGCAGGGAGCAACTAACATTTTCCTGTTACCTACATGCAATTATTCTGATCAAATACAGAAGTAAAAATATTTCAAAATTCCAGAGCAAAAAAACTTTTACAACTGAATGGGATTGAGTGTTGAAATTTAGGCACACTTCCAATAAGAGTGCACCAGCAATGGTAAAACTGCACACCTTTGGTCAATTGCAAACAGACCAACACCGTAAAAAATAAAAATTAAAAAAAAGATGGATGTTGAAAAACCAGAGGCTGTACAGCACACATTTCTCACCTTTTCAGTTGTAACAATGCTGAGTATCACAAGTTGAAGTTAATATCTTGCAGTCAAGCGAGACGGTATCAGACAGGTACCAACATTGCAGGTGAAAATGTGTATATAATATTATGTTATCTCTTCTTCAAAATATGCCTCATATCACAGATTTCTGCAAAAAAAGGCTCGTTATTATTGAGGGAAGGAAAATGGAGCTAACAAGTGCGCAGCAATTGTCGACAATTTAGCAGTTTGCGAAACGCTCTTCCCGGAACAAAGAATCCGTCACAAATTAGGACCAATAATGGTTTGACAATCCAAACAAACGATGTATCACAATTCACTCGCGTCTTTGGCAGCGGTGCACGTTCTTACTGGTGAGCTCCGGATACACCACCCGGGATAACACCCCTCGGCACAAACACAGTGAGCGAACCGCTCGCCTCCGCTCGGCGGCGCACGAGTCAGCGCGCAAGCGCCAACCCAGCGCTGGTACGCCGTAGAGCTAGTAGCTCAGCTGCAGGCGAGAACTACGTAGATGGCTAAATCCAAGGCCACCAATACTTTCTTCGCCTTTTTTAGCTGTTACGATGTATTCCCCGTCAGATTTTTTTAATTGGATTTGGATTCACACTCTCATTGATAGTACTATCTACCGTGAACGAACTCATGAATGCGAGGAACTCCGTGACGCATTGGACTGGACCAGCCATTCCGGGAACGCGGAGCGATGTCCGTGAAGTTGGCGACGTCGCCAGCGACTTTTCCAGCGACGAGCACCGATTTTAGCCAAAACCTCGTCCAAGGTCAATTGGACCATGAGAATCACGAAAATCGAACCCATTCACCCCTAACCCTTGACCTTCAAGGTCAAATTCAAGGTCAAAGGACGGGGAACTGAAAAAGTGCCACTAAATATTGTCCGATTTTCAAAATTTTGGCACCAAAATGTAGCGCGTGCAAAGTTCTAGCCGCACATCGAAAACCATTTTCATCAAGGTCAAACTTCAAGGTCAAATTCAAGGTCAAAGGACGGGGAACTGAAAAAGTGCCACTAAATATTGTCCGATTTTCAAAATTTTGGCACCAAAATGTAGCGCGTGCAAAGTTCTAGCCGCACATCGAAAACCATTTTCATCAAGGTCAAACTTCAAAGTCAAATTCAAGGTCAAAGGACGGGGAACTGAAAAAGTGCCACTAAATATTGTCCGATTTTCAAAATTTTGGCACCAAAATGTAGCGCGTGCAAAGTTCTAGCCGCACATCGAAAACCATTTTCATCAAGGTAAAACTTCAAGGTCAAATTCAAGGTCAAAGGACGGGGAACTGAAAAAGTGCCACTAAATATTGTCCGATTTTCAAAATTTTGGCACCAAAATGTAGCGCGTGCAAAGTTCTAGCCGCACATCGAAAACCATTTTCATCAAGGTCAAACTTCAAGGTCAAATTCAAGGTCAAAGGACGGGGAACTGAAAAAAAGCCACTAAATATTGTCCGATTTTCAAAATTTTGGCACCAAAATGTAGCGCGTGCAAAGTTCTAGCCGCACGTCGAAAATCATTTTCATCAAGGTCAAACTTCAAGGTCAAATTCAAGGTCAAAGGACGGGGAACTGAAAAAGTGCCACTAAATATTGTCCGATCTTCAAAATTTTGGCACCAAAATGTAGCGCGTGCAAAGTTCTAGCCGCCCATCGAAAACCATTTTCATCAAGGTCAAACTTCAAGGTCAAATTCAAGGTCAAAGGACGGGGAACTGAAAAAGTGCCACTAGATATTGTCAGATTTTCAAAATTTTGGCACCAAAATGTAGCGCGTGCAAAGTTATAGCCGCACATCGAAAACCATTTTCATCAAGGTCAAACTTCAAGGTCAAATTCAAGGTCAAAGGACGGGGAACTGAAAAAGTGCCACTAAATATTGTCCGATTTTCAAAATTTTGGCACCAAAATGTAGCGCGTGCAAAGTTCTAGCCGCACATCGAAAACCATTTTCATCAAGGTCAAACTTCAAGGTCAAATTCAAGGTCAAAGAACGGGGAACTTTAAAAATGCTACGTCACCAGCGACTTTTCCAGCGACGAGCACCGATTTTAGCCAAAACCTCGTCCAAGGTCATTTCGACCATGAGGATCACGAAAATCGAACCCATTCACCCCTAACCCTTGACCTTCAAGGTCAAATTCAAGGTCAAAGGACGGGGAACTGAAAAAGTGCCACTAAATATTGTCCGATTTTCAAAATGTTGGCACCAAAATGTAGCGCGTGCAAAGTTCTAGCCGCACATCGAAAACCATTTTCATCAAGGTCAAACTTCAAGGTCAAATTCAAGGTCAAAAGACGGGGAACTGAAAAAGTGCCACTAAATATTGTCTGATCTTCAAAATTTTGGCACCAAAATGTAGCACGTACAAAGTTCTAGCCGCACATCGAAAACCATTTTCATCAAGGTCAAACTTCAAGGTCAAATTCAAGGTCAATGAACGGGGAACTTTAAAAATGCTACGTCACCAGCGACTTTTCCAGCGACGAGCACCGATTTTAGCCAAAACCTCGTCCAAGGTCATTTGGACCATGAGGATCACGAAAATCGAACCCATTCACCACTAACCCTTGACCTTTAAGGTCAAATTCAAGGTCAAAGGACGGGGAACTAAAAAAGTGCCACTAAATATTGTCCGATTTTCAAAATGTTGGCACCAAAATGTAGCGCGTCCAAAGTTCTAGCCGCACAATTGAAAACCATTTTCATCAAGGTCAAACTTCAAGGTCAAATTCAAAGTCAAAGGACGGGGAACTGAAAAAGTGCCACTAAATATTGTCCGATCTTCAAAATTTTGGCACCAAAATGTAGCGCGTACAAAGTTCTAGCCGCACATCGAAAACCATTTTCATCAAGGTCAAACTTCAAGGTCAAATTCAAGGTCAAAGAACGGGGAACTTTAAAAATGCTACGTCACCAGCGACTTTTCCAGCGACGAGCACCAATTTTAGCCAAAACCTCGTCCAAGGTCAATTGGACCATGAGGATCACGAAAATCGAACCCATTCACCCCTAACCCTTGACCTTCAAGGTCAAATTCAAGGTCAAAGGACGGGGAACTGAAAAAGTGCCACTAAATATTGTCCGATTTTCAAAATTTTGGCACCAAAATGTAGCGCGTGCAAAGTTCTAGCCGCACATCGAAAACCATTTTCATCAAGGTCAAACTTCAAGGTCAAATTCAAGGTCAAAGGACGGGGAACTGAAAAAGTGCCACTAAATATTGTCCGATTTTCAAAATTTTGGCACCAAAATGTAGCGCGTGCAAAGTTCTAGCCGCACATCGAAAACCATTTTCATCAAGGTAAAACTTCAAGGTCAAATTCAAGGTCAAAGGACGGGGAACTGAAAAAGTGCCACTAAATATTGTCCGATTTTCAAAATTTTGGCACCAAAATGTAGCGCGTGCAAAGTTCTAGCTGCACATCGAAAACCATTTTCATCAAGGTCAAACTTCAAGGTCAAATTCAAGGTCAAAGGACGGGGAACTGAAAAAGTGCCACTAAATATTGTCCGATTTTCAAAATTTTGGCACCAAAATGTAGCGCGTGCAAAGTTCTAGCCGCACATCGAAAACCATTTTTATCAAGGTCAAACTTCAAGGTCAAATGCAAGGTCAAAGGACGGGGAACTGAAAAAGTGCCACTAAATATTGTCCGATCTTCAAAATTTTGGCACCAGAATGTAGCGCGTGCAAAGTTCTAGCCGCACATCGAAAACCATTTTCATCAAGGTCAAACTTCAAGGTCAAATTCAAGGTCAAAGGACGGGGAACTGAAAAAGTGCCACTAGATATTGTCCGGTCTTCAAAATTTTGGCACCAAAATGTAGCGCGTGCAAAGTTCTAGCCGCACATCGAAAGCCATTTTTATCAAGGTCAAACTTCAAGGTCAAATTCAAGGTCAAAGGACGGGGAACTGAAAAAGAGACACTAAATATTGTCCGATCTTCAAAATTTTGGCACCAAAATGTAGCGCGTGCAAATTTCTAGCCGCACATCGAAAACCATTTACATCAAGGTCAAACTTCAAGGTCAAATTCAAGGTCAAAGAACGGGGAACTTTAAAAATGCTACGTCACCAGCGACTTTTCCAGCGACAAGCACCGATTTTAGCCAAAACCTCGTCCAAGGTCAATTGGACCATGAGGATCACGAAAATCGAACCCATTCACCCCTAACCCTTGACCTTCAAGGTCAAATTCAAGGTCAAAGGACGGGGAACTGAAAAAGTGTCATTAAATATTATCCGATTTTCAAAGTTTTGGCACCATAATGTAGCGCGTGCAAAGTTCTAGCCGCACATCGAAAACCATTTTCATCAAGGTCAAACTTCAAGGTCAAATTCAAGGTCAAAGGACGGGGAACTGAAAAAGTGCCACTAAATATTGTCCGATTTTCAAAGTTTTGGCACCAAAATGTAGCGCGTGCAAAGTTCTAGCCGCACATCGAAAACCATTTTCATCAAGGTCAAACTTCAAGGTCAAATTCAAGGTCAAAGGACGGGGAACTGAAAAAGTGCCACTAAATATTGTCCGATTTTCAAAATTTTGGCACCAAAATGTAGCGCGTGCAAAGTTCTAGCCGCACATCGAAAACCATTTTCATCAAGGTAAAACTTCAAGGTCAAATTCAAGGTCAAAGGACGGGGAACTGAAAAAGTGCCACTAAATATTGTCCGATCTTCAAAATTTTGGCACCAAAATGTAGCCCGTGCAAAGTTCTAGCCGCACATCGAAAACCATTTTCATCAAGGTCAAACTTCAAGGTCAAATTCAAGGTCAAAGAACGGGGAACTTTAAAAATGCTACGTCACCAGCGACTTTTCCAGCGACGAGCACCGATTTTAGCCAAAACCTCGTCCAAAGTCGATTGGACCATGAGGATCACGAAAATCGAACCCATTCACCCCTAAACCTTGACCTTCAAGGTCAAATTCAAGGTCAAAGGACGGGGAACTGAAAAAGTGCCACTAAATATTGTCCGATTTTCAAAATTTTGGCACCAAAATGTAGCGCGTGCAAAGTTCTAGCCGCACATCGAAAACCATTTTCATCAAGGTCAAACTTCAAGGTCAAATTCAAGGTCAAAGGACGGGGAACTGAAAAAGTGCCACTAAATATTGTCCGATTT